CCACCGCTACGCACTACTACGCTTCACAATAACGCACTGATGATGTCACCTCGATTGGTGGTGAAACGTTTGCAATCAAATTGCCCAGCTCAGCGAACAAGCCAACGACCACCAAAAACGAGAGTATTTTTCGAAATGTGGTAAACAGCTGTACAAGCAGAATCTGTAGCATGATAGCAAAATGCCAGTTAATCTGGGCAAATGATGCCGTGTTTAATAGTACCAAAACCGGTGCGCAAACAAAGCTCTCTTCAGCTTGCTTGTGAAATGCTGTCACAGACGTTGCGAAACTAACCGAACAGGGGCAGTCGTGACTTGTATCCAGCTGGACAGATATGTACTCAATGAACCAAATTATTACCGGTCTCACCATGGCCAGTCGCAGCAGCCTTTGGATTTTTGGTGGTAGGGTAGGGTTCAACATATAGAAATGTCGTTTCGAACAGGCGACACACATCAATGGCAAGCGAAACCAGTGCAAGAGCAAGAGCAGCCTCTAGTCTTTCATAACGAGAACCATGAGAGCTGGTAGATGAATGACAGGGCAAATTTGGAGACTGATTTCAAGTCATGTAGGGCTGTGGATATCTGTTGACGCGTAGAGTTTCTGGTCAGAACTGAGGCGAGGCGAATATAGCTGCTAGTCTTTGTGAGTGGGTGCATGTTTTTCTGGTACGGAGATAAGAACAAACACTGTTTTGTAGGCTTAAGTGGAATTGCAAGCGATGCATACATCGTTTGTATTGACATTAGCGGGACCCGTATAAGGTCATACGATGGGCGCTTTCTTGCTGTTCTTTTTGTCAGTGAGGCCCCGGCCGTGTGAGGTGACTGAACAGTAATCACGAACCACAAGTGGATGCGGAAGCAAATTTACTCCCTACAGTCTGTAGGCTAAATTCGAATTCTGTGTGATGTTCCAGGTATTAACGTGGTGACCTTAGTCGTTTATTTTGCTGGCCGGAAAGCCACCTTCACCTAAAACCGATCACTAGGAACTCGACGGATCGGACTCAAGTTTTATTCACCCAATATCAACCCAACATAGGATTACGCAGAACTAGAAGGTTTTGAAATGAAGAGCTCACAACTTACACTTTCGATGACTTTCTGAACTAAATAGCCCACAGTCCGTAATTTCAATATAAATTTAGAAGACGTTTTCAGATCTGAGTTCTTATCGGCATATATGCAAATTTCGTAAATCACTCAGCTACTTATGAGTAGCCAACAGCTTCTGTGTTTAAAAACAATTTTAGAAGGGAGGAAGTGCTGTAGTACACATGTGGTCATTACCCTAACTCTGGTACCTGAAGCTGCGATCTCTGGAAGAATGATCATTAGGCTGGGCATTGGAGTTAACGAGCAGCCGGGACGCATCGTCTTTAACGCAGTTTCGCTAAATGCAGTATATAGGATGAGCTAGCTAGAGACCCCATTCGACGGCCAATTTAGCGTGAGATTGTTTTGAAAGCCGATTTTCCCCTAGGTGCTGTAGTCGACCGAGCCATCGAAGTTTTTGTACCATGTACGCCTCTGACTAGGAACCCCTGTTCTGAATGTGAAAATTCATCTCCGGATCACCTCCTTGATGTCAAATTATGCGCCTCTTGACATTCGTTGTGAATCTTTCGGTTCTTCCATCCGCATAGATGTTCCCTCGACACTATCGCAGTCTCATCCGTGGTCGTACACATGTAAATAATACCATATTGGTCGGAAGTCTTCCAACTCTTCCCATGTTTCTTATGTCGATTTTGCTTTCCGTGTCTCTTTCGTTTCCTTCGCTTTTTCGTTAATTACAAAAGTCGCCACATTTTCCACTTCCCTGTGGTAACAGACCTATATGTCCCGGTCCTTCATGTGATCACTAAAGGCAGTATGCTACAGCTCACTACTACTGTTTATTTCCATGTAATCATGCAAACATAACTGATATTTGTATGTTGCGACCCCCTAAATCGTCTATGTTGCTTGCTGTCTCACCTCCATTATGCACACAGCGCAGTCGTATGTCATATGAATCTCCTGCACGGTTCAATCACCAAACATAAAAACGTTCGTGATTGAACTATAACTGTTAGTTTTGTTCGATCAACTCATGATGATTCATCCCTCACTCACAGCTACGTTTTCGAAAACACTGCACGTGAGCACAGTCTAGTGTCCGGTAGGTAGTGTATTACTAGTCGACTGCGGGCTAAAGCAGTGACAAGCGATTGCTGCGATTGTTTTAGATACTAGTTAGCTATTTTAATTTATCATATTGGGATGCCGTGGTATACCCACGTATCGAAGGTAATTTGGCCACCTCAACACAGTCGATGTTGAGAGTAGGTTGACTTACTGTCTATCGTAACTTCTCGGACATTTAATTTCCAAGCCTGCACTCGCACAATAGTACCGATCACGCTCATTACCCCCCCCCCCCGAACTACAATCATCCGAAAGTTTCATTTGCGATCTTGAAGCAAATCTTGTTCAACTTTTATCCTTTGTTTTCTGAGGGTCGGGTGTCATGTCCATCAACCTGATGGAAGGGAGAAGTATGTAAGGTTAATACTTTCGGTTAAGTTTGTTCTAGATCCTTTTTTCAAGTGGAATATCTTGTTTGTTTATTCCACAGTTGAACATGGTCGAAAAGAATACGGATAGTTACCTGTCTGCGGGACAACGGTCTCTGCCTCTTCTCTACTTCGTCATGTTCTGCGTTTACCTGTCCGCCAGTTTTATTTGGTTCATCTATTTGCGTATGTCAAAGTAAGTTTCATCGGCTGTGCACTCTTCAGATGAAGACCTAGCTTTGTTGATACATACTTTTTGCATTCTCAGAATGACATCAAATCATCTATATTTGTAATGCACTACTCATAAGGTTGCTGAAAATTCGTCGACAGCCCACAATCGGTTTCGCCCTTCCTGGGGCTCATCAGGTAGGCGCAGTCCACTAGTTTCCGTCAACCTTATGTTCCACTTGAGACCGAATTGCACGAAGTTAGCGAAATACACTCATTTGCAAACTAATCTGGTTTTTCGAGAGACTCACCTGGAACCTAGCTGAATCTCCCGTTTGTGATGTTTCCAGGCATCTAGCTTGCTTGTGGTACGTACTAGCCATGCAACGAATGGCCGCAGTGAGGTCGATGATGCCCGAGAGTAAACATGAACAGTTATTTTATCAAGCAGAGTGAGGCTGTGAACCATTCTCACTGGAAGCTCATGCCTAATCCTTGCGTTATCCAAAGTTTGTCCCTCAAGACGATCTATTATGTGCAATGGCGACTCTCTTGTGGGAACGCCTGCAAAACGAGTACTTTCATAAGAAATCAAATCATGCAGTCTCTCTGAAACTGACATTGCGCTCCTAAACGGTGCATTTCGCTCACCTTATATCCACCCGTTATCCATGAGTTGTACTGCGTTGATGTCAGATTGCATTTCGCCAAAAAAATTTTTGAAGGCGGTGAATACCAACCACTGCGAACCGATGCACCTTATCTCAGGCTATTGTTATGGGATATCGTATCAAGGCTTGTTGCCCCAACCAATCATCAGCCGAACTAAAATGCGATGCCTGCATTGCGTGTATGGTTGTGGGTTAGAACTGACGTACAAGGGTGCCCCTAAGTCCTATTTCAAAATACCTTCAAACTGCCTACCAAATACATCTGCTTACTACTCCAGAAATAAACTGTATGTTTTGAAGGATTGCCACTACGTAAACTGCAGTGCCATGAAGCCGGCGGCTGATAACGAGTATTTGGACGACGAAGCACCATTTTCAACCCGATCAGCCACCACATTTACGAAGAATCGCGAAAAGTGGAACCCGGAAGTATACCCGATGATCAGCTATTTGAATGAGAACGGTTGTCCACGCAAGGAACACTGTAGCTCCGTGCACACTTCTGAAGAAGAAGAAGAGGGCAAAGTTGTTATTCCATAAAATTTGGTGAAATTTGAGCTCACTGGCTTACTTTTATTAAGGCAGCTGTCGTTAGCGGGTACGCAGTGAGGCGAATGAAATATCTGTCGATACGGGAAATTACTGGAGAAAAAACAACATTTGTTTATCTAGACCTGGCGATTTGTACAGGGCGGACGGAACCAATCAAGACTTTTTAAACAATACCACAAACAAGCTTCGTGTGAGGTGCTGTAGGAGTTTCCAAAGAGCGCTTCAATCACTCATGGAAGCCGTCAGGTTTTTGAAATGAATGTTTGTATGACATGGACTTATCATTTGACAAAATCCATACACAACAGAGTATGGATTTTAACCGGTCGAAAGTCGAAAGCGAACGTCTCTGCTTGATTACTTGAAAAACCAGCAGGACTGTCTCTCTCGTCTTCGAGCTTAATCCTGTCATATAAGCTGATATAGTGTAAATATTGTTCATCCACCTATTGAATTCTCATGGTTTTTTTTCGACGGTTATCCTTTATCAGTGGACTTTACTGTATGTTCGTCCGACGTTTATGACCGCCCGTAGATTGGCCCGGTGCACATCATCGACTGACTGGCTGCTCGATTATTCTCACAAGCCGCGAGTTAGTGCTGCTGCAGCTTCACGTAAAAAATGTACATTTGCGCCTTTAGGGGAATGGGTCATGTCCTTCGCAAATCTTGTCCAGGCCATCCGAACGCACTTTTTCGACTAGGTAGGACATTTTTGAAATATTACTTTTGTAAAAAATGAAAGATTAGTGGATAGAAAAACCTTGACTTACGGGAGGTCCACTGCAACTGCAACCACAACAAGTGACTGCCAACTCCACTGACGATGTTATTCTCACCCATGCCATAGAATATGATGAACAGCCATGAGATGTATGTGTCACTTGCCTCACTTGGTAAAACTAACCTGAAATTCCCTTCGATTCCGGAATCTAAAGTTTCGCAATTTGGTGTCACTAGTAAAATGTGATTACAACGGTTTCCATACCCAGTTCACAAGTGATATGCGAGAAACAAACCAGTAGACAGTTGAGCAATTGGCTAAGCAATTACGCTAAACGGAAGTGTGCTTCTATCACTGATTACCGTTCGTTCTAGCAATGCGGATTCAGATACTTCACCTGTTTGTTCATTTTATTCACGCTTTTAAGTGACACGTTAGGCGCTCTCAATCCTGACCCCTAAGGAGCTGTCAGACCCTAATGCAGCCCCACTAAAATCCTTTTTGACCAATCTGTCTTCTGATACAGGGTCTTTCTGGAAGTTAATATCCGAAGTTCTACAGGACCCCGGTGTTCTGTTTCTTGTACAACCTAGTTAGTTACATCAAACTGCGTGATATCGTACAGTGGCACGGCCGGGCTTGCGGCTCGGACACACCTGGTGTACCTGAACATTACTAAACCGATGCTCCCACCAGACCCGACCAATGCTTCCCAGACACCGATGGTCAAACGCTGACATCTTATGTCCTCTGCACCTGGAGACCACGTTCCGACTTTTTCGCAGATAATTTGATCGAATCAGGTGAAATAGGACTCGTCTGTTGCGTGCAGCGAAAGTCTTCTCTTTTTTCTTGGGCGTTCAGTATCCACCAGCTTTCTCTGTCATTCTTCAAACTCCTGATTGTCCGGTGTTTGAGGAATCTGCATGCGCTACCACAGTCTAGTTGCTGGCATGGCCCTTCTGGCCGCAATAAGATCTACTGATCTTGACGGTATCCAGTGTTCATTTAGTGGAGTCTGATGGTTTGTACAAACAGTTCTGAAAGCCGAGAGCATAGCTTCTTTAACCCACTTTCAGTCAGCCTCCAAACAATCTTCGTCATATGCATCACTGTGCATTCCCAATAGCTTTCTAGCCAGGTCAGCTCGATACTTTTGAGCTACTGAAACTTGTCGAAGTTGATTAATTGAGCTGCTATGTTTTGGCATACGTAATGCTGATATGAAGCGAAGGGATAACCGGGCTTACGCAATGGTATGATCAGAGTCGAGCTGCGTACCCCCAGAAGGGACGACACTCTTTAATTGACGCTCTCCATCAGTAACTGATAGCCATATGGTCCAGTTGAGTCCACGATTGTCTTGTGGTAGGTGGCCTCCAAGTAACTCGGTGTGTGCGTTCATATTGGAAGTTCACACTGTCCAGGAACAGACGATGATCTGCACACGACTGCAGAAGCTCCTCTCCATTATTCGTACCCTCAGCATCGACTCCAAATCGACCACCTAACTGTGCTTCTTCCGGACTTAGTCGTCCAACTTGGACATTCATATCACCGGCCAGGATTACTATATCCGTCCTTCTTGCCGACCGAAGCAGTCATGACAGATCTTGATAAAACTCGTCCTTCTCAGTCTCAGAACTGCTACCTATTGGGGCGTATGCTGATACGACAAACACCGTTTACCGCATCGACCTTCGTTAATCTTAATTTAGCCAGACAACCACATGGGACAAAGGCGACTTTTTACTGGGATCCAGTCCGGTAAGGCACTTTCAGCCTTGGGGTTGAGTGCAACTCCCACACCGTAGGTACCACGATCAGGGTCACCGAATACCCGGAGTGTGAAATATGGAACATCTGAACTCGTCCTAATCGGCTTGTAGTGCACTACTGAAATGGGCCCTTGCATGCGTGTTTCGGAGACACAGCATACATCGACAGATAGGGAAAGCAAGGGTTCAGCAAGAGGTGCCTGTTGTCCAATTTGACATAGAGTACGGACATTAAAGGCTGTGGATCAAATCTTTTTATGTAAGCGATCATTTTGGCTTATATTTCTGGGCGACGGTTTAGACGCGGGACATTGGTTAGGAGACTGGCAGATTGGTTGATCGCACTACATTGTTCGATGGGTGCGGAGGGTTTGTAGAAGGCCAGTAACCGAAGAGCTGCAATGGCGTATGATACTTGCAGACTGCCGGAGCGGAAGAAGGGGTTTAGTTTAGGTCCCCACCCTGAACCTTTGACTCAGAGTCTGACACACAAGGCAGTGGGAAGATGTCGGGTTTTGTTCGGGGACCCTTCATATCTCCTCTGATTCAAGAGTCTGACCCGCGAGAGTGTTTGTTGGGGTTCTTTTGGGGGGCCCTTTCCGGACTAAATGACTCTGAACCGCTTGGCTGCATAAGGTCGGCCTGGCCCGAGGACGCACAGAGGAAGGTATTAATGTTTCACTACTGGTGCAGCTACGCACAGCAGGTGCTTTTCGAGCAGCACCGAACTCTGGTTTTAAAAGTATTTCGACCGTATTGGATAATGCGCCGGCGGTCACGGTCAACCACTTGGTGTTCGGAGTGCACAATTTCTATAGCCGACCCTTTCTAACCCGTATTTCCGCGGGGGAGGGCAGCCTCGCTGCTTCCATCACTATGGACATGTTGGTCGCCTGGAAGGCACATCATACTGCCTTCACACTCCTATCGCAGAGGCAAGTACAACTTAACCTCCAGACAACCTTGTAATACGATTCCTCGCTGGGCTTCCCCCTTTGGTCCTCCTGGCATGGTTGAACCTTGAGGAACTGAGTTCCAGTTAATATAACCTGCAGGATCATTGCAGTACAGAGGCCCGACCACCATGACATGGTGACAGCTTTGGGTCCGGAGCTGACCTTCGGCTAGTGATGCAGGTTGTGGTTGCCTCACGGTCGGTGAAGCTGGTGAATACTGTTCAGAAAGCACGTGCTTTGACAAAATCTGCCATGTCATAATCTTTCACGAATCCACATACCTTATGTAGTACTCAACTTTTACTAAATCTGAAATCCGGTTCACCAAAGAGGAAGGTCATCTCTGTTTAACAGCGACTGAGCACCATCATGGTCCTCATAAGGCTGTTTCAGATTGCCTTTGTTAACACGACCTCCTTTTGAACAGTCTTCCTCTTGCCTTAGGACAATTATTCTGGCGATTCCAAATAAAAGATGAGAGTCGCTGGAATCGCGTTTCACCCTTAGTAGAGTTCATCAGCAGTACATACTGTTGGTTGCGCCCGAATTCGAACCTCATATGTTCGGGATGCGAGGCGAACGTGTTGCCACTACTCGACCAGTGCGCACTCGGCGCACCCGAACAGGTGAACGTGTCCACGCTCTAGGAATGTGATAGGTTGGAAATGCTCAGATTTAATCCACCATTTACTCGGAGAAAATTGTGTGCAGATGTAAAAATCATGAGGAGGCCAAGAGATAATTTCTCAAATAAGATGAGCGAGTAACCGAAATCGTTTTAACAGCTTCCTTACGGTTGGAGTGAAATCGTTTCTTTTTGATGGAGTTCTGTCATTGTATGCATTATGCAGAGGTTCTGTAGTAGAGCGAAGATCTCTCCTAACTGTTATCTCGCCCCTAGTCACAACCAATCCTCAAATGCGGCCGAACTTCCTTTTTTACATAATCGTGTTTGAGCGGTACTACCGAAGTGTGATAGCAATTTAGGTCCTTGAATTTCTGGATTTTTCTCATACCTTTGGTTTCTCTGTGTCTTCATTTCCATTTTGCCAACAGAAATTCCAAATTTCGTATTCACTACTTGATGTTTGCCGTCATCCTCGTGAAGGCCGTTTCGCTCGCCTTTCATGGTGTAAGTTGTAGGTTTGTGTGTGAATTATGAATTAACTGACGTAAGATCAACTTCTGCACTACTGTACCTTTAATTTCTATCGGGAGAATGGTATATTTGCCCATCTTCCATTGGATCTCCCTACTGCACTCCCAGTTTGGAGCAAGTTTTACGATGTTGCTTGTGCAGTATTCAAGGATGTTCTGGTTCTCACGATCCACAGATTAAAAGGTAGCTAAAATTCGTCTGAAAGCAGGTTATCCACTAAAGTGCTTAACAGAGACCAAAATCTCGAAATGAAAGTTTGGGTTTCACGTGGTTTGTAGACGTTATCTTGGACAAGATGACTGAGTGGTTAGAGTACGAATTTACCAACTGGAAGGTCCGTGGTTCGAACCCGACCTCTGCCTCTCGACTCCCCTGTCTGTATCCCAGCCCTCTTGCTTCCTTCAGGTGGCATGGCAGTTAGGCACCGAAAGAGTGCCACAGCTGAGTGTTTTCGATTTAGATATGATTTATACTGAAAGCCAGCCTACTTTTCCGAGGGGATTGACGGAGATATCCTTGGACTCTTCCATGCTACGTTCGTTAACTTAAATATCAGCTGATCCAATGGGAAGAGTTTAGATGAATAAGACCGTGGATTACTTCCAGATGGTTTTACAACTGACAGTAAGATGACACTTCTTTTTCCATGTGCAAATTGCTTTAAGTCCTTGTTCGACGAACATTGTGCAGTCAGCTTTTGCGAAGGTCTATTCTGGCTTAACGTTGAATTTCTGGGTCGTTGTACTTTAACTTGGGGCGTTTTGTCACGAAGTTCAGTGGAACTCGCTGGGATTGGGGAGAAAGTCTGACTTAACCCGTGCTTCATTGTGACAACTTTCGATGTAACGCGAATCTCTGATAGGCTTCAAAGGTATGTTCGTAAACCGCAATTTCCAGCCAAAGCATTCACGCATGCAGCTGCACGTCAACTCGATACGAGTATTCTCGCGCATTAGATTGTGTTCCATTGCTTACCCGGGCACGACAGATTGTTGCTTTTCCTTTTGGTTTTTACGCCACGATTGACTTTGTGCCCTCATCCCTGCGCTCAGACAGCTATGTGTTTGCTTTCTAGGTTAACTACTACGTCATCGGTAAACATGGGGTGCATGAAGAAGGTTGGGCAGTGATGTACTACATCACACACATGTAAGCCCCAGTTGTTTCTCTTTAAACATTATATTTTCTGGTGTCCACTTCAGTATTGTCTAATGCTTGGTCCTAGTGGATGACTTGTAGGAACGTTTTCGAGGGGCTGGTGTTAAACATCTGTATTTAGGCGGTTGGGACGGATGAGGTCGCGTTCCCAGTCGATCCTTCAAGATGATCTAACACAAATCGAACAACTCGGGTGCACATCTCGAACTAAGCTCGACCCATTCGCCGAGACTGTATGGTGTATACGTGAGAGAGAAGCGCGAGTGATTTTTGGGAAAATTATGGAATCCGGATGATAATCACATCACCCTCAAAAAACCCAGTCAGGTCGAAAAATAGTCCAGCCCGTCATCTGCTTTGCGCACACTAATTTCGGTCGAAACATGCGTAATGTGAACTAAATAGGAATTCACCACCGCATAAGTTCAGAGATCTTGCCAATAAGATAGGATCCAAGAAGTTTGGGTGATCAGTTCGCATAAAACTGGGTGTCGTAATTCTTTACAGTAAGTGGTTGGCCCAATGGTAACAGTTCATCCAAATTCACGATACAGAACGTTATGTTTAGCGTAGTGTGGGGCAAGATCGAACGGTATCAATACCAAAAAACTAGAGACAGAGTCTATACGACAAAAATCTGACAGACGTGCAGTGATAGTTACAGATTCCCCTTATCTATATAAGGTTTTATGAAACCGGTGAATTGCAAAAATTTTGGTAATGCTCAGTGAGTACTCCCCTTTGACTGTGAATCATAGTATGTCAACCGCAAACCACGTACCAAAGCACAATAATTTCAGCTTTGTAGATAGAATACGTTGTTTCGTGTGGCTGGTTACCCCGCTTCCAGAAAAGGTTTTTGTAGCAATTCCCAGCCTCGAGTCTCCGATTCCTGACGTCATTTCAGTACATCACAACCTTATTCGTAAGGTGGAAGACAGTCCTGAATGGCCCATCACCAGTTTCATTCGTTTGGACTCCATCAGATATCTTGGTATCATACTATGGAATTAAGCGTATGTTGCTTACTTAGCCCGCTGAACGGAATGGTCGGACGTTGCCTTGGATGAAAATTACGGAAATTTCTGAAGTATCTCTACAAATGGATGAACTCCAATGAACCCGAAACCGACCATTTTCCTCTTAACTGTTGATATGGAGGGCTTGAAAACTGGAAGAAAAGTACGTTCGACTGTCAAGAGCACCGTTTTGGAGTGATAATTTGGGGTAGTTGCCTCAGAGATGAGAGCAGAATTAGTGATTGACATAGGTAGTTACCAGTTTCGAAATGTAATAAACCGATAACAGGTCTCCGCACAGTCGACGATAATTCGTAGGTGACAAATTGAGGCCCAAGTCTGGTTTTGTCATTTGCGCTATTTTGAGACCCCGAACAAACTCAGTAGCTCGCCTCTTTGGTCATTCCAATAAGCTTCGGTCTCGTTTTATTCACGGACGCCAGACTTGAATTGCGTAATCTAAGTGAGGTTGACTAGACTAATAATTCTCGCATACAGATCTGAGACCTTTTTTGAAGGAAGAAACGAAAGTAGCTGTCCGTTATTTTTCTGGCAATTGGTTCTCCAAATGCTTTGCATTAGTTTTGTCAAGCTGTGAACGAGTCCTTTTTCTCCGTAAGCAGACTAGGGAGAAGACAGAACCGGTCGGCTTCATTTGCTTCAACAGTTGGATTTCAACTTTGCTTTTGCGCTTTGCTGGGACCGAGCAGTTCACAATGTTAACGTATTGAACGTTGTACTGTGCACTTCAAGCCAGCTGAATTGATCTCCGAAGTGCTCCGCCCACGAAATCGGTGGGACTTGGAATGGATTTGTGAATCATCTTTTTCTGCAGTGATTTCACCGACTGGCGGCCTCCCTGGCCCGATGTTGCGAATAAGTTGGAAATGACTTCAGTTATTTCCAATCGCCGCCGCCTTTTCCATTTTTTGAGCTTTCCCTGGCCACTACTTAGTTTTGCGACTGATAGGCGTCATCTCAGAGGTTTTGCTGAATCGTACCGTCGTCTCGACAGGATCACCTTCCTCGCCTCAATTAAGAACATGGATCTCTGTGGCCTCTTTTTGGGACTTACACAGTCGAATGCTTAATTCACGACGTTTTGGATTTCGGACCGGATTATTTCGCACTCGTAAGTTTTCCAGACGGTTGCAGCTGACAGACTCCTCTGGCGACCGAGTATTGCAGGCAGTGAATAGTGCCGTATACGAACTAGGATATGACCTGACCCCGTACACATGTTTCAAAAGGAGCGACGACATATAGCTGTTTGCTGTGTGGTCAACCTGAGTGCTCGATGGGCTACGGTTTTCAGGGCACCGTGTTCACGTTTGTGCTCACGATAAATCACTGGTGATCAGGAGACAGTCTACGAAGCATTCGCCTTTTTCAGTCCTAAGAACACCTACAGCAAACCTCCCTCCGAGACAACTGTCATGTTCGTCGATTCTCCCCAAATGGGCATTCAACTCGTCAGCCAGAATAGTGGAATCTGTGTATCTGACCTTGACTCGCTAGTCTGATTCACTTTTCTGTGAGAGGCCCTGGACACAAGGTATAAGGCATAACTGACTGACCCCTAATGCAACTATGCATATAGGTGCCTTATGGTAGCACCAGACTGGTTTCAGATTTACTCCGACCGTATTAACTAATGCGCCGGTGGTCACGATCAGCCATTGGGCAATTGGAGTGTGCGGTTTTTCGGACCGTCATTCTTCTGCGGAGGGAGAGGCAGCATCGCTGTTTGACCTCCCTTGGCTTGTTTGCACCGTTCGCAAAAAATCGTACGAAAAGTCCTTCGAGAAATTCGGTCGATGACATACTGAGCACATGACCAAGGCAGCGCAACCTATGGAGTATGGTCAATTCATCAATTCTGGACATGGAATTCTAACGGGAAGATGAGGGTGTGGTTTAATTCCGTGCTCACACGACGCCCTTCGTCCTTGTTGACACTCATCAGATGCCAATCAATTGCATACATCCAAATAGTTTTTCCGTAGATGCCTCTTGTTTTCAGATCTCATGCTAGCCAAATATCTACAAGTTCGTAGGAATTTCGACTCGCCAAACCAGTTGTGTAACTCAAACGTTAGGGAAATTAGCTCGAAATAAGAACACTCTTTAAATGGCTTTCTTCTAACGTCCCTATAGACTTTTCTGGCCTCATGTTCTACATCCTAATGCCACATTTTTTTATTTCTCAGAATCCGCGGAGCTCTTTTGTTCATCACCATTCTACTGATTGGTGCTGGCTGGACTTTCATCAAGCACATGCTCACCCCGCGTGAACGAAACGTCTTCCTTATCGTCATACCACTGCAGGTGAGGTACCATAACCACAGGACAGTGCTCTCCCGGTTGTGTATTAGTACCAGATCTCCTTCAATTCGAATGTGACGGACATCGAGCATTGGGATTTTGTTCAACTAACAGTAAGATAAGACAGTTCTGTCTTTCCCCTACAATGATCCGAATAAGGACGTTTCCGACGTTGATAATGAGAAATCAGCTTAGCTGAGACAGAACGTCAAAAGGACGCTGAAATGGTCTGCTCGTACGCATAGACTCTTCTGTCACGATTGTTGGTGGCACCGGGTGTCAATTTGTGCTCTAAAATCCCATGCCCCCAACAATCACAATAAGGATCAGACGCTTGGTATCGGGGAGCTTCGATTGAAATTATCGTGGATCTCTGCTGTACTGTCTGAACAAGCATATATGTCTCAAAGTTATCGAATCACATTCCCGTGGGTCTGTTGTTGAGCCTGGCGATTGGATTGCGTTCCAGAGATCCCTGTGTCGTGAGCACTTCGGTTAAACATCCATAGACAGTTAAAGGCGCTCACGTGAACCGCCGATCCGGTTAAAGTGGGCTTGCAATCGGTTTCTTCAAGGACATTAACCCCAACACACCGATCTCAAGCCCTCAAGTCATTTCTGGATGTTTCACATCTTAAGACTGATAAAGCGTAATGAATTGATGATGAGGTGATCGTCGCACAGATTCAGTAGCGCTGTTCGTTGGTGTGCTGTCGACCTTGTTTCAAGGTCGAGCAAGCTACCACGATGACTGTACATGAGTGACTTCGTGTTCGCATCTTGGATGCCTTCGCCGCTCTCATGTGTTGCTCCTTCAGCTTGCGTATCCTTGTCATGCCCAGTCTGCATTCAACTTGGCAGTTCGCGGTTTCTTTCACTTAACCATACTCATCAATTCACCTACTCGCTCCTTCATCGTCAATCGCCTAATGGTTATGGTTGCAATCTACTTCTGGATTAGACTCGATGGTGATCTGTTCGCTCCAATAGGCTAGTTCCAGTCATACTGAATGACTGAATTCTGTCAGCCACTATTGCAGCACTCAGTTGAGTGATTAACGGTGTCAAAACCCTTTCAGGCAAACATCCGATTCTGTCTGATCGTTCAGTGTCCAATTCACTGAACCTTGAGAGGTTCTATAGGATGATCACCTGGAAGGAACGACCTGGTTCAACAATGCGTGGCACACAGCTGTTCATTGCTTACTGAAGAACAAAAGGCATTGCTGATCTTGGTGGAAAATTGTTGAACTTAATTCTTAATTTGACGTAGTGTCAAAAATGTGTGAACATAATAGGTTTATTTCTCGAATTTATCAAGTGAGTTAAACCTGTTGAGCTTTTATGGTGCCCAAGGTTTCATGACCGGTGGGTTGAACAAGTTTGGCAGGTGGCCGCATGATTCTCAGGCGTACAGTGTAAACCGTGTCATCCTGTGCTTTAAATCACCCATACAGACCGATAAAAATTGTGAATGACGTTCACACACCCAATGCCAATTCTGCTGTCAACAGACTATCTTGATGACTGGTTCTTTGTCCGCCTTAAGATTCATTCACTCTTGCAAACCAGACACGACCTGATGAAGGCTTGACATCGAAGGTACAACATTGCTCACCAACAAATCTACCCATTCTTTTTCGGACTTATCAGGGTGTCTTCTCTGGAACATCCAGAAACATTCAAACTCACAATTTTCAGGCTGGCGAGTGAAGGACTCGAATTTTCGGCATAGACTCAGATGATGAAAGTACAACGGAAAATTTCGAAATCTCATGCTATCAACGACCTCGTGGCAGCTCCGATGGAGGAATGATTCAAAAGTGTTCCGTCTGAGAAATCATCACTCGGGAAGCTAGTTAACACGTGGTGTGGATCTCGTGGTCAGAAGATGAGTGAAGCGAGCTGATCATACTCCTAGTCAGCCGTTCGTGCTTGAACGCTTTGGTTTGCAGCTACTAGCCGGGTCCGAATCTCCCCGCAGTTTCGTGAGATGAGGATTGTTGATTCTCAGCAACGATGAAGCAGCTGTACAGTACTTCTCAGTTTCTTAGCATAATTAAAATTACTGACGATGCGAGAACTCCATTAGGAATCTCGACATCTGCTCATACTTTCAGCCGTTTTTTAACTTTATTCCTTTTTTTCTGGTGTAATATGCACTTCACGTATACATATGTAAATGACCTGCCTTAACACTACGCATACTCCGGACCATCATTGTGCAGACCTACTAACTCGTCATGTGTGTGTCTCATGAGTGGTATGGGCTACCAGACCATCTTTCACACACACTGAGTCTCACCTGTTCAGTTGTACCCGCTTGTACTTGACAAATATGAACCATCAGTTGAATGTGCTTCTTGATGGCTTTAGAACTGTCCCTTCATGTTTACCTCCCCCAGTTCTTATTTTCTCGGCCTTACACCGGGTTCATGTATGGTTCAGCTTCTTGTGGCATTACGAGTTGTGCGGAAGGTCTATCGACGTTGTCTGCTACGACAGGCCAATCCGGAGTCGGGCGCTTCTGTCTCATTAGTCAGTTTTTGGAATTCCCTCTAGGTGACCACGAATGGGAAGTTTCGAAGCTCGGAGAAACTACTCGAAGATATTGAACACTGTTGTATTATTGTGTTCCATGATGTGGTGTGGTGCGAGTCGGTCGACTCCAACGTAAACAATAACTTTCAGTTAACTTGTAGAGCATTTTCTGTGTGTGGATCATAAACAGCTCTGGAACCGGTTTCTTAGGCCAGCTCTTGTTGCCTGAGTTAATTTGTATTTTCTCCAGTTTGCTGATACCCGACAGCAGAACACATTTCTCATTTTCTTGTCTTTGCCATTGCTGGCTCACCCCGTTGACCCCTTTAGATTCTTGCCAATGTGGCTACTGTGGTCATCGAAGAATCCGAGGCGGGAACCGCAAGGTATATGATGTGGAGGGACATATTTATTTTCGTGGACTTGGCATGCTGTGGGGCGATTCTTTTCCCGGTTGTCTGGTCCATTCGGCACCTACAAACCGCGTCCCAAACCGACGGCAAGGCCGCTATCAATTTGCGGAATTTACGTCTGTTTCGACATTTCTACATTTTGGTAAGCCTCTTTTCCAGTCTTTTTAAAGAACATTCACTTTGGGAACCTTATTATCATAATTAATTTTCTTGAATATCCTAATGGTCTAATGGGATTTCTATGGTTCTCACGTCCAGTCAGTTTCTTCAGGCGACGCTTATGAGAAATTCTCTCCCATTCACAAGTCCTCAGAGCTGAGTGGCGAGTTTGTATCACTTGCAAGGTTCCAGATTTGGTACCCATTGTTGATTGAAATCTTTTACTACTCACTTTGGTCACAAAAAACAACTGCCTCTGAAAGCCAAAAGTTTAGTCTTGCTCCACCATCGTCGTTGAACAATTGCTGCATCGCTTCGATCTGCCACTTGTTCGTTCTTCGAATCTCACAATGGAATGCCTGTACCAATGGTTTACCGAGTCAAGAATTTTCGCCTTGACATGTTGGTCAACCTTGAATTTTCAACTGAACCTCTGGACTGCAATTGCTGGAATCTCATTCTTTAAGTTGTACCACTGCCAGGAATATCAAAGGAAAGCAGCCATGTGAAGTACGGTGAGACACTGTGAAGTTTGTAGGAGCATTAAGTACTTCCTTCAATTGCCCATCTTCATCACAGTTATGGAGTAAGTTAGACTGTCTTTTCCTGAAAAGACGAGTTTGAAAATCTTGGCTCGCAAAACCGCACATACCGATCCACCAACCGTCGACCGTGACCGCCTGTGTGCTGCTCAATACGCTTTAAATGCTTTTAAAAACCAAGACCTCCAATATTGTCCTAAAAGCACCATATCTTGTTGTCTCTGAAGGCGTTGTAACAAGAGGAGGTATACTCATCTAAGTCTTCGATTCCTCGACGTAATCAGTTGTCCGTTGACCGGATTGGGGTAGGCGGACATCTCCTTGTTCTCGGATTCAGAGTTCTCAAGTCGATAGTGTTGTAGGTTTTCTATGACCATAGGTGTATGTTATGCTTGACCACTAGTTTAGACGGTTTTTCACTTAGACAATCTGACCACTGGTGAACAGTCAGACCTTCCTAGATAACAAGTCATCATCTTTCGTGGTGGATCGGTGAAACCACGTGCTTGAAATTTAGTCGAGGAAGATGCGGTAACATCCCGAAATTCTCAGCCACGCGAAGCTTTTTATCTACATCGGAACCGCTGATTCATCAGTCGCGTGAACCTCTGGTTATCAGTTTGAGGCTGCTCTACCCCATGCATATCATCCTTCAACGACGATCGGGGCGCATTTTAGGCCACCTTTTTTGTCTGTACACACGTTTATTAAAATTGGCTAATACTACTTTACATGTTCTTTTCAATTCCCAACCTCAATAGGTCATCTGTTACGTCTACTTTACTCGTGTTGTCGCCTACTTGCTGACCATCACCGTACCGTTCTCCTACTGTTGGACTGTGGAGCTCTTTACAGAGTCTATCACCTTCCTGTTTTTCGTGGCTGTTGGCTACAAGTTCCGTCCTATCAGTGATAACCCGTACTTGCTCGTACCGAACGAAGATGAAGACGAAGAGGAGGACACTGTCATGGAACGGATTCAACTGGAAGAAATGTACGGGTAATTGTCTATCCGGCTGTTTGTCGATTGTCGTTGTGCCAACATCTTACCGTACTGCGCGCTCTCCATGGAAATTTGATCTAGTCGAACATTGTCATTTCGGTAGTAGGCGCATTGTTAACGACGTGCGTCTGTTGTGCTTGGTGCCTCACTTTTGAGTTTCAACATTCACGCTGTTAACAACATTTGTATCACATGTTACAGTCGAACTTGTTCTCCTCATAGAAGCTGTGAATTTTCGCTTGACTAAACTTGACTTCAGTAGGACGTGCTGAAGGCTGTTCAAATGAGAACGACCGCAGCAACCCTGCTCCCCGTCCATAAGAAACAGCCAAAAGCGAACATGAGAAAGTCTCCTTGTAAATGTATCTAACAACTCAATAATAAGTGTGGATATCCTATACCTACTCCATATTGTGGGGAACGGAGTTTGAAGTTAGTGAGTTTCTGCTACGCCTCACAAAGCATGGGGAAACATGCACAAGTGTGCCCACTTACAGCAACGGTCTGGTGCGAAGCGGACCAAGTTCTCTCTGTACCTCCTCGACAGACTGCTATCAGTCGCGCTTTTTTGGTAGACTCATCAGGTAAGCGTAGTCCTAGGGTTTCCTTCCACCTCGAAAATGAATGTATAACTTCACGTGGATCGCGTTCTATCTATCTGATGGCTTCTGCTTATAAATCTGAATCTACCATTCCAAGTGGAACGAGTGGCGAGTGACTATAGTGACAAAAGACTCTGTGGATGCTTTTGATTTTGCAGGAACGTGTTTAGTAGCCCTTGTTTTGGTCAGCTTTCCTTTTGATATTGATCTGATATTGTTCTGCTGAGTAAGTCCGCGGAGAAGTCCCCTCAACCTGATTAAGCTGTTTTACTTAACTTTTACTATGATGGAATTAATGTGCCACATAGATACGCTGGAATCGTACTATTTCGAACGGCCTTATCTACCGCAGCACGCCCCCATATAAGTAATGGGTAAATTAACGTACAAATCAATCCTAGAAAGTAAAATTTTAAATTATCGCTGGAAGGTATGCAATGGGAAGCCGGCAGACTCAACGTCTGGCTTCATGTTTTTGCAAAGAAAGACCTGGTCTGCGTGCTGTGGTTGACGGTGAAGTCATATCATCCTGCGCAGTCTGTCTTCTGTCTCTATACAGAATCACCACGCAAGAAACCAATCCAGGTAGTCCCACTTCTGTGTGTGGCGCCTATTCCACGCACTCTGTAGTCATCAGTGGCTTGTCTATCCATCATTGTTAAGCGGGATCAGAGTACTGTGCCTCAATCGACTCAGAGGACCTAGCATTTTGCTTGTATCTGGAGCGTAACACATCAATGATTGATAATCGACAAAGAAAGCAATGTAATCACGACCATAACACATCACGTATGTAGATATGGATTAGCTGCAGGTATCGTTAGGATCAACCAAATGGTGGGATGGGCGTTCCGTGATTCCTCGACATATAGTTTGTTCTTATGTCAGTTCTGTGCTTACCTAATCCAGTTGATCGCAAATCGAATAGAGACGGCTTCCTCAATAGTACCTTGAAATCCGCATGTTCTGAGTTGCACGAGGATAGGAACTATTAAAAAGATGAGCCATATTGACGTTTATGCACCGTATGTGCAAAGAAGCCAAAAACTAAAGTTTGTTTATAGTCCCCGCAGTTACACTTTGGACTGTGTCGCTAGAGGCCTTTCCTATCTTATAGTCCGATGTGGATAGAAACAACAGCTTTTAGTCATTCAATGTGTATAACAATTCTCTGGTGAGTATTCTTCTTCTCAGATGACATCCGGCTACTAGGAAGCAAGCTGCCAAAAGTCATATACAACATTGTTCAGATGATACATTGGCTATGCACGAAAAATTACGTGACTACATCATGAAAAGAGCAATTCAAACACATTCTCTCCAAACCGTGTGTCCACCCAATTTGAATAAACTACGGTGTCGTCCTAGCCTCATAAAATACTTCCTTTGAACATTTGTTTTCGAAACTGTTAGCAAAATTGAATGGTTCACTTTTGTGATATACGAACTTGATCTTCGCATAATCTTATTGATGCACAAAACCAGGCTCATGATGCTCGTAATCACATCATCATTAAGCGCCTAAACACTATTTTTCCAAAGCTGTTTGGATGATCCCACATTCGTTCACGACTTTCGGTCATAACTGCATTTATTTGAGCTATTACTGCGGGTACTTGAAGAAAGTAGTACATGTGATGAAACGATTACGGCCAAGTAAAGGACACTCCCGCTGATCCAGTTATCTCCGACTATCTTTTTTCGAGTTACCTTCGAGTTACCCTAAAACCAGAGTATTTAGTAGACCCGTTTCTACTAGCTGTGGAATCACTTGGTATTACAGTGGGTATTTGTATGTTGGGGTAGCTATGAAAATTATTATACCTCTCAGCTCAGAGGAAGAATAATTTCATAAGATGAGTGAAACTGCCAGCTGAGGAGTCGTCGCTCAAGGAACTGGTCAGTACGTGACCACTTGATGTGGTTTCTCTGACTGAAGCTTGAGCGGCGTTTTATGCTGTCTAAATGAGAGCTAATTGCACTACTATCCAACCGCTCGTGGCCGAGTGGTTGCGTTCAGACAACTAGTCAGAAATCGCGGGCTCGAAATCCTTTGAGTTTCGAAAACACCAGTAATATCGTTTAGTTGCTGACAACATTACCTACCGGTCACGTTACCCGGTACGGAAATACTTGTTCAAGCAATTAACTTGGCTTTGTATATGACGCGGAAACACGTGTATCGACGTGGCTCACATCGGGCCCGAAACTCAGTTGTGCAAACCTTGCTATATAAACTGGTCGGTTGACTAGCCAGGTGAGAAAAGCGTCCCTATGGTCTAAAAACCGCTCAGATTGTCCCACAGCAATTCTGCTATAGATGCAAATAAACAAACCTTCAAATTAGATGTTTCTTTATGACCTTGTGGGGATATTGTTTGAAGTTATACTACTGGTAAGCTTTCTGTGTCACCCTTTCGTTGCCTAGTTACCATGCCACTCGAGGGAAGTAGGAGGGCCGAGATACTGCCAGGTTACCCAAGCCTAGACGGCAGCAGTGGAGATGGAGAGGTTGAGGTCGAACCATGGAGCTTGCAGTCCGTAATCGGACTCCTTGACCACTGAGCTATCTCGCGCTCAGGTCGGAGCAACCGCTATAAGTAATCGAAGAGACGTGAAGTGCTGACTTATTGTTAACATTTCGAACAAACGGCTTACAATGGATTCCAAAATGTCGTTTAACTTCTCCACTTCTGCAAGTCCAATATATATTTCAAGTCGCTTCATCACATTTAACTACATCTGGTAGGGGACTTCGAATGTAAACGACTACGTACAGTGAGGAGTAGTAATTCTCAAAAACGCACATGTTTAGGTTGCGTGCACTCGGTCCCATAATCGATTCCCCAATCATAAAACTGTCCGGATTTGGACCGTTTACACACGTAATATTGGTTTCTGCGTTTTACTTGACATGATGTCAGCTATTGCCAGTAGCTTGGGGTCTAAGTTTCGAGGTATAACGGTTTTACTGGATGCTAAAATTGTGCTTTACCTTTGAAAGGTAGACCTAAAGGCATCTGATATGGTTGCAGCCATGAGTTCACTGAGTCGGATACTGAAAAACGTTACATAAGAGCGCCTTATCGAGAGTTCTGCGGCAGAAGGGCAACTGAAAATTCCCAGAAAGCTGGTATTTCCGAAAGCGATTACCCTCAAACCAAATAAACATTAGGAGACAGTTTACATCATCGTGACTTATTCTTTTAGGTTCGTCTGATAGACACTGGTAACCGCAAAATAAACACTAAACTTGTTTTTTATTGAGCGAATCACAGTTCCCTTCTCAGTAATCCAAGTTACAACTAAATTTCGCTATCCGAATTTCTCGGTTATCTCATAGTCACACAGGCAATTATGATGGCATCCACAGCAATCTTGTGCTATTCTTTGGTTAATTCTGAGACCCTTAGAAAAACGAACCTCCTGCACTTGCTACCACGAATCATTCAACTTGTCGGTGCCATAAACGTCTTGTGCTTTTTTGTTCTTCAGGTGGTCACAGTCTGGTGTTACTGATGGCGTCACCCGTTTGGCCCGACCACAACCTAACCGGAAGTCCAAGATCACTGTAGGTGGACAACTTAACCAGGGGTTCATCGACCAGGACGTTTTACCGGACGAAACTGGATCGCTCCGTCCAGTAAGAGGTGTATAACTGCGCTCCTTTTGACCACTGTCATGCTCTACTGTGAGGGGTGTGCCAGGTACTCGGCCTCTGTTTGATCAAAAGAATGTTATCACACCATTCAGTCTACAAGCTGGTTTGTCCGCCTTAGCGACATGATCTGCACACCATATGGCTACCTGCCTACCGATCGACAGGGTCGATTTTTCAATCTTTCATCTACTTTTGTGCTTTACCACCCTTGTCTCATTCCCATATTTTCCTAGTACCATTTGTTCTACGGACGCAGCTGTGTGATTCACTCTAGTCACCTGTGGCTATGAGACTTCTGATCAAGCGTCATGCGGTTCACAACAGCTATCTCACTCTTGTAAACGTTGTGTGCTTTCCCATACTATTTTCTTTTTTGTCAACAATTGGCGGAGGTAAATTCATAATGTCGGAAATTTCTCGCCACTGTTGATGGCTCTTTGTCGAAGAAGATGGGACATACTGTTAAGACAGACTTTGTCTGAACTGGCTTCTGAAATGTGCCAGTTCCGTTGCCCCCTCTCCAAGTCATAAAGGTGGCAAGGGATAGACTTGTGTTTGATTGTTTGTTGATGTGTGCATTGAATTCTTCTGTTACAGTACAGCCACGATATATATATATATATATATATATACTTATATATATATATAATCGTTCGGTGCCTAGCTGCCATGTCACTCGTCGGAAGCACGGGGGCTGGGAAACTGCCAGATCACTCAAGCCTAGACAGGGGAAGTCGAGAGGCATAGGTCGGGTTCCACCCATGGACCTTCCGGTCAGTAAATTCGCGCTCTCACCACTTGAGCCATCTCACCCCCATATATATATAGCTACTCAAAAGACTCAGGTATCCTTCTCTGAAGTTCCGAAGGGACACAAGGAAACCGAAAATCTTGGGAAAAAACTGTACGCTATTCTATTTGATGTAGATCATACGGGCTTGTGGCTGCCAAGCAGCAAGACAATATCATCCATTCGTCACCCTGTTCAAACTCTGTTAGTCTATCTCTAAATGTCGGTCCTATACAGCGATTCTGGGTCCACTGAGACGTGTGTTGTGTGACGATATCGGTGGGAAAATCGCACAGAAATGAGTGAACACAGTCGCCTTAAAGAAACCCACTGGTTGTGGAAACATTTTTGACAGTTTTCGATAAGCTCACGCCCGAACAAAAAATCAACAGCATACCGACAATCTTAGGAATATTCGTTTCTGGCTAAAGTACTGTTGGTCAATGATGTAATAAGAAGGATCGATCAATATATCCCCTTCTCAGATGAAATGCTTGCTGGAGCTCTTGTAATTCCGTCTCACGTGCCGCATTGCGCCACCGCATTAGTGATGGCAGTGGTGTTCTGTCAAGTGGGATCTCACATTCTGGGAGGTCACCTGAACTCACCGACCGAAACTAGTCCCTTCTCCAAGCTAGCCTCTATTAGGTAGATCGTAACGCTAAAAAAAGTCCAAAAAACAAAGTGACCTTCGACATGTCAAGGAACGTAGACAGTGGAATAAGTTTCAATAAATCAACCAAAGGTGAGGTGTGTCCTCTCCAAGCTCCTGAAACCGTCATCGCTTATCAAGGACAAGCAGCTAATTGATGTCAGAATATTTGCAACTTGATGCGTGAATTACACTAATAGGTCATTGTTGGGAGGGTATACTGCATCAACGAGGTATTCAGAGTGGTAGTACTTGGGGATTAGGGTATAGTTCCTTAGATACGAATCTCCCACGCCATGAATGAAATGGTCACGCAAGAGAATCGACTGGTAACGCTAAATAAACAATTACACGTAAGCAACCAAAATGTGAGATCGTTATATCGACCAGCGATAAAATACACTAGGGTCTCTAAAAAGTTTAATAAATCGTCCAGCAATACTTTTAATAGGTACGTAAGTAATAATGAAGTCTACTGAAACCAACTTTAACATACCTCAACAACAATATTACCACCTCTAGAATTGGGACTAATCTGTCACGGGGGTAAAAATATTCGTTTGCTCTCAACGTCTCGCAGCCCTTCTCGGAATCCCCGATGCCCGCACATGTATCGGGACACCCATTCGGTATACGCCTGAGGTATGGATCCACCTTTCGTTCACACTTCAGTGCATAGATGACTCTGCTCAACACCAAATTGGGTGGTATGCGCATGTACCATGAGTGACAGACAGCTCTCGCTGTCATCCGGGAAAGTACCACCGCCCATGGGAACCTGAAGTGTTTCACCACTGGAAATCTCTGGCTTGAGCAGTCGAATTGTCCACTTGTTTACGGTGCTCCCTCAAATTCGTTTTGAATGCATTGTAGCGCATTCTATTTAGCTTAGTCCTATTATGTGTGTGCAAATGGCCTTCCACGAAAATCTGGGCGTCCTGGAATGTTAAACGATGCTCGAGTTGACTCCCTGTAACCATTGCTGTGCACACCAAGCTAAATAATTACCAGTACCATTCAATTATATGTGTATTTCGGTGCATCGTATGAGCGATGTGTGGGCTACCAGACCAGCTTGCGTGTACACTCGGCCTCAACCTTTCAGTTGTTCACACTCGAATCGGTCAGCTGGACAGTCTGCTCTCTCCTGTTCACACGGTAGTCTCACTCACGAGGTTGGCTGCATATGCGGTACAACGCAAACCGCATATGGTCTCATCTATTCTACACGGGGATCGAGTTGAAAGGTATATCTGGAAGCGGATACCATCCCACCGTGTGCGTGCGCGCGTCAAGTTGGTGGAATGCAAAATAATATGCTATAAGAGTTCTAGTGTAAACAGGTTGGATGGTCGAGAGGCAAATGTGAATCTCAACTTCATAAAGAATAAGACGAGCACAAAAGGCCGTACTACCCAGGCAAGCGAGTCAAACAATTTGGCCGATCAACGACGAATCCGCACGAATGGTCGATCGACAGGTTTGTCAGTGGTCCGTCAGCAGTCACAATTCCTGAGCGAATAAGCCATTCGTTTTGAGAGCCAACCTGTTAGTGAACAGGAGCACTCCAACCCGAATAACACGTTTGGTCATTTTGCGGAGGGATATAAGTTACAAAACATTCTGTTCTACGATGATTTTATGAAGCGTTTACACGCTCGTGCACACAGTTTGCGCGGTCAGCAGGGGTAGTTTGTGCGTTACGCTCATTTCCTAGCAGAAGGTGATGCACACTGGGGAATTGTGGTACGTTAAACTGACCAACAGGACTTGCAACTCTAGCTCATAACTATAATTACGTACTTAGCTGAGGGCTTGAAGGAATTTCCGAATGAAGCGTATGTTAATTGGTTGACGATTTCGGTCCGGAATAAAGCTAATGTAGCCTCCATCACTTGGGAAAAGTTTCGAATCGATTAAGAAGTCATCGTTTCAAAAGGGCTTAACAATCGGTCGTACTTAGCTGAGGGCTTGAAGGAATTTCCGAATGAAGCGTATGTTAATTGGTTGACGATTTCGGTCCGGAATAAAGCTAATGTAGCCTCCATCACTTGGGAAAAGTTTCGAATCGATTAAGAAGTCATCGTTTCAAAAGGGCTTGGTAAACAATCGGTAGTTTTGTGTCAGAAGCGAAACGTTGTCCAGTTAAAAACTGCCGATTGTTTACCAACTCCTGAGACGTTTCAGAAGGGTTCAGTAAACAATTGGTAGATTTATGGTTGGGCAGCGTTTCGCTTTTGATGCAAAAGCTTCATCAGGCCAGGTGAGGAGTAAGTTAGTAATTAGGTCGACCATTGATGGAGACGCAGAACCGATCAACGAACTGTCTTTCTACTGATACAGTTGATCTGTGTAATATATTGCGAAACACTCATTTGTATACCGAGTTAGTTTTGATGGGACGCAGATTAATCTGTCGTACATCGTATTCTTCAACTGAATGTTTTGCACGAAAATCACCTCGTGTTTCAGTTGGTGTGCTATTTGATATATATTTTTGTTCATAGTCACACCACTCTCATTTGAACGGTCGTCCTCCTGTAGTGGAATAGTATTCCGGTGAGTCCACACCAAAGGGAAGCATTGGACTCGAGTTTTGCTCTTATTAGAGCTCACCATTAGTGCATATCCAATGGCCGTGCCGGGATTTGAGCCCGGGACATCTGGCATGCGAGGCGAGCGTGTAACCACTACTCCACCAACGCATCTGAATTTTCATGTCTGAACAGACGAACAAGTTCACAATTGAGCGATGTGATTAGTGTGCCCGACTCATCGAACAACGACCCAGCAACTGTTCTGCTTGTGACGATCGACTGACCCGCCGGTTAGGACTTCCCAGTCAGGTAGCGTGACACACGCTCAAGATGTCTCGATATATTTTCCTAAAGAAGCACTACTCCGTAAGATTTCTGCAAACTCTTCGACAGCCCACAACCGGTCTCGCTCTTCTTTAGGCTCACCACACTGGCGCAGTACCCGAGTTCCCGTCAACTTTACCCCTCTACTTGAACCCGAATCGTGAGCCCACCTTCAAGAACAGTCTTTGCATTATCGAAGAGCCTATCTTATTCACGCACGATGCACTTCCGTGGTGTCTTTTCATTTGTACGATGATAACCGTGGCTCGCAAAACTGTTCAATAATAGAATTGGCAATAAAAAGGCCGACAACCTGCCAGAGATAATGCAAGAAAACATGTTAGTATGATAATCATTTTGGGGCAAAAATTATACTGGGTTCAAAGTCACGAGCAACAGCTGCGAAAGTCTATGCTATCGTCAAAATAGAGACAGATCAGTTTTCAAGGGAAACCAGAATTTTTAAGCCGCCATGCAAAGGCGCACGCAAAGAGCCAGAATGCTCTCAGCTAGTGAGGTTACAATACTATTAAGGTACAAGTTGTACCGAACTGCAAAGACTAGGATTGTGTTCGGTTTGAATGTCCGAACAACTGCAGAGACACATGGTCATCGCTTTATCCTTCAACAGGATAAATGTAAAGGTAATTTTCGATTGTCTGAAATGGATTAAACAAGCTTGGGTCAGTGCACCTACCGGGCTTTTGGTCCGCCGAATGGCAAACTCACTTCGGGCAGTCCTATCTGTCACAACTACTGATGGGATTTTACCCTGTTTGGCTGCTGGTAGTAGGTAACCCCACATCACCCGACGACCCCAAAATAATGGTTGGTTATACCAAGGTGACCGATTTCTGGCCTGAGAATCCAGGTCGTTGGAAGCCGTTTGCAAAACTATAAGACGGTGTTCCGTGGCAAATGTTTCCATGAGAATAGCCACAAGATTTACTGTTAGTGATCTTTGTGGCCTGCAGTCCAGCCACTAGCCACAACCAACCGTTCAACTTGCTAACACCATAAATTACTTGAATCGAAACATACGGATGTCGTGTTCGATTAACAGGATCTGTCACCATGCTTATGTCTTTCGAGTACCGTCTTAATGATAATTCTGGAAGAGCTTAATGGGATTTCACTCAGCCTTGACTCAAATTAAGTGCTGTTATTTGCACTGGTCAAGAATGTTGTTTCACCATTCACTGATTCTTCTTTATCTTCCCATAGCATCCATCAAATCGTACTTTATGGAAGTGGACTTTGGTGGAAGCAACTCTATTAGCTCTCTACTCCCGAAGTTGAAATGCAGATGTCGTACTTTTACAGGTCGATAATTCCTTCGTAATGCATGCTCTGCATCATTCTGAAGTGCGGTTGTCAGTGATTGCAAACAGCTTTTCGGAATGATGTATTTGTACCACATCTGGCAACCAAACGTGTGCAATTCCTTGTCGTTGCAAAAAAAATGTCAAAGCCACCAGAAGTGAGGGCTCCAGGATTCCAAATAGTGGGCCACTAGGCGTTCATAGTTCCTCAGTCCCACATCCACGAAAAAGACGATATATGAGTGCTTTCCTGTATCAAGTTAAACATGCTAAATAAGAAATAGAAGTGGACAAAACGTAAGGCGGTTCTCACACTTTCAAGCCCCTTTTTCGGTCGAATCTGCGGTAGAGTTTGGTACGAACATGTGACGGTTGTTTGTAAGTTGTCCGGAGATAATCGCTCGGAGGAAATAGGAGAATATATGTGCGTGTTTTAACATAATCTGGTTTGTTACAGATAAAATACCGCAGGAGTATGAACAGGGTACACTTTCTCTGGAAAAAAGTACCAAACAAACAAAGGGTTTAAGAAAGCTTTTAATGCATCAAGATTCCACTCTGTCATCCGAATCAGCTTCGACTAGACAAGTGAATATGTCTAACAGTTTGCAACATTAAATTTAAAAAACAAAAATACAACAAAATGTGGAGAGAGAGAGAAAAGAAGCCCTATAACACCTATCTTCGGAACAAAAAGCATAAAATCTGAACTGAAACTCAATAGAGTGTATACACAAGCATTACTGAAGGCATTCCCGGCCGCAAACAACTTTCAGGATAGAATGGGATCCGTTCTTTCGGTTCATTTCTAGTAGATGTAGAACGATGTTGTCATGGGTTGCGTCCGCATGCAAACGATACATTTGCTGACCGAATCCGGACCACTTCTCACCTTTATCACCTGTCCCATCACCATGCCGAACATGTGTTCGTCCATTGAACTTGGCATCACTCGGAGCCAAAAGTTTTTATGTTCTTCAAAGAACCCACACAATCCCTTAGCGGTACACTCGATAAACATGTGCGGGCGGAATTGTGGAATACAGCTTCCAGGAGATGCGAGCTGTTGCCCCCCGCCTTGTGCTCCGTACCCGGTGTTCTGAGAATGGAAGAAAAACATTTGAACGATAATGGTGGGGATTTCGAGCATCTCATTTCCGAACGTAGAGTGGTATCCCATTGGGATAACATGGCACATGTGCACAGTTGTGAATAACTGGATATGAAAATGAGAGAGAAGCAATTCGGTTTTGTCGAGAGGGAATGAACGGCCCATGACCTGGGAAGCTGTTATGAATCAGTTTTCAAATATACTTTCTTAAAGGGTCAGCTCTCCTCTGCTGCAGATGACGATGTGGTGGTGTGAAGCCATAGGAGAATTCGGTGAAATTCTTCCCTACAGCTGATAGTGTTCTAACAACGCGGATAGACAGTGTAATTGAATGCGCCTCAACAATGTTTGGAATGAGATGGTTAATCGAATTCATCATCGACAGCATGACATTCGTGTTCAATACCGATGCTTCGCTGCCGTACAATCATGATTCATTTGAAAGCCTTATTGTGAAGAGAAGAATAAAGTTGTTAAGGGAAAGAACTTATTGCTTACTACAATCATTCCGAGGCGCCTACACCTCGGGACGGATGGGAAATTTCTCTGAGAACTAAGAAGTGCCATTTTCAGAGAAATTTGGTAACGATCTGGGTGACGTTTCGCTTCTGATATAAAAGCTTCGTCAGGGCATGTGATTAGGTTACGAGATTGTTCGAGATCTAAGGCGGAAGGAGAACCAGTCAGCTAAGTCAAGCTAAAACTGTGTTAGGTGTCGGCCAAGGAATTTTGTGAGTTAGGGAGGGTCACCAAGTGAGGAGACGTAAATGGATTTGAATTCAGCTCAGGTACTAGTACTTCTGGTTCACGTGATGATCCCTCTTGAACGTCGTTTGCACTTATTGTCCGTCTGTGTGGATGAGCTACTGCTACGATAGTTGTGTAAGGAAGAGGGATCCTGTGACCTTTGGTAAGGTTGGGATTTCCATCCCCTGTTTTGTTAGTGATTCTACGCACACTGGCAACCACACAGTCACGTGTCAACTCGGCTTATCTAAGACCGCCTTCCATACGCCCGCCAGTTCCACACCCTCAATTCTGTTCACGCTGTGATGCTTAGTAATTCCCACCGCCTCGGCTATCAGCCGCTGTGGTGTGAATCCCACTCCCCGTATCAGAACTTCCACCTTCTCCAGGTCTGTTGTATGTCCTGTGTCTAACACAGGTACCAATATCGCTGAGTCCTTGATCAACAAACAGAGTTTTGTAATTCACCCAGATTTGCTGATAAAATAGTTGTTTGAACGGTCCATGGCACCGCTACCGCCCTGCAATAATCCGCGACATATGGGTGCCATTCCAGACTTGTATTGACATAATTGCTGGGTAAACACATGCTGTCCGATTTTGATGTAACACATCACACCTCCACGATACAAACGGAAACTAATGATGTTTATCCAGTCATTCTAAAAGAAGCCACTTTTCCGTCACACATCTCCTTCATACGATGGTCTTCGCTGTGTCGCACCAACCTGAGGCAGGTCGAGTTAAACCACCGTTATATGCATACATACCACTCAAGGTATGCAACAGCTGTGGATAGTTGAGGAATTCATTCGAACTGAATTGAATAATGCTATGTTACTCTGTCAGGCTGTTGAAGAGGCTCTGAGTGAAGGACGAAGGTTAGAAGAAGGTACACAAGGTGAAGGAGATAATTTCCCTTCTCTCTGTGATTTCACATGAGATGAATATTGCGTGTTGTACACGACATTCATTGCTCACCTCTGGTATGTACTATGAACAAAATGTCCAAGGACTGGTCTATGATAACTGCGAGCAAAATGACAGTCATCCACTCACCATGAGGAAACTGCTACCGGGCCATAAAGTTGACCATCCGTCGGGACACTTGGGAATTTCCAAGGTTTGTGCATGGAAGGCGTACAACTGTAAAGAAGGTTCACAGAAGAATTTGAGCGGAAGCTATGTTGAACCAATCGTCTAGGCAGTTTAACGTCACTGAAATTTCGAGGATTTATGTTGGTTGAGGCTCCCTCCACTAGACGTTTACGAAGTCAACCTTGAGCCTCTCAGGAAAGTTGAGAGTGAAAAATACTCCGTGCAGTCGTACATCGTTTATGTCATAACTGCTTCATATACAAAACATTTGGTGGACAGACGATTATCTGGATAATATAAAGGCACACACATTGAAGTAGTCGAAAAGTAGATAATCACAGGGTGCGCAGAATAATTGGGGCTTGTCAATCAAAAGCCCTAAGCTGCTTCTTTTGAAAACAAGCTGATCGAGAATTACTAAATCTGGTTCGTCATGATAGTGCCAAATCTCATTCTCCGTTGTTTCAGAAATTATTTCCCATGATCATCCTCAAAGCCAGTTTTCTTTTGGATATGCGCCTTGGTGCAACCGGCCTATGAAACCACAGTTTCAAGTCCTTCGCTAAAATGATAGAGGTCCTATTGTGTCTAACGTCAAACATAGACCAGACGATGTGGATCAGACAATAAACACAATAAACACTGCTAATGCGTATGCAGTTCGTAGGATATGATGACATTTGTGAGGTAATTCCCAGACTTAATTGAGGCTGTATAACGAACCGGCATCTTCTCGAAGCGGTCTATTGTTTTCGCCGTAGTCTCTTATCAGAAACTTGTGACATTCTCCTTTACCCATGGCATTATATCAGTTTGGGGTGTTCACTCTCCTGTTCCGCTATCCATCGTTAGACCGCTGTACGTTACAGGCATAAGTATCAGCTTGCTATCGAGAGGAATATGGGTTGTATGGATGGTCACTGTTCTGTTCACCGACCTGGGTGATTCGGTTGCAAACGTTTCATCATCAACCAAGGTGACATCGCTCTGTATTGATAACGTCACCTCGGTCGGTGCTGAAACGTTTGTAACCAAGTTGCTTAGCACAACGAACAGCAAAACAACCATAAGTATCATTCCTGGTGACGTTTCCTGAGCGATCACAAACGTTGGTGGATTAGCTCAAAGAGTCAGGCAGTGTGTAACAATAGTTACCCCAGGGCACAAAAGGTTTGATAACCCACGAATTTTTAGTAAGTATAAGAGGTGGGTATGTATGTGTCCTTGAAAATATATTCTGTGTGTATTTTTCGTGTTTTCTACCGAGCCAAAATTTTAAGGACCTTAGGATTTGTCATCTGCTTACTAATAATGTTTCTGAATTAGGCTGATGTAGCCCACGACATTTTTTCTCTTTAGCGTTAATTCATTCAGATTCGCACATCAGGATTTCAGCGAATGTCAGTCATCCTTCAATTCCGAAATCCAGTCGCTTAAGAGCGAGCGACGTGCCTGTTCAAATGAAATGATTCAGGTTCTTCCAGCGTGCTCTGGTGATAGTGCTCCCGCCTCGTTTGCCCGATGTCCAGAGTTCAAACTCTGTAACGGTCAAGGATAGTTGCTGTTGATGAGCTGTAGTTAGGACGGAACTCGAGTCCAATGCTTCCTCCCTTTGTTATCAACTCGCAGGAAGGACAGGAAGAGGACTGCTCAAACGAGGGTGATATGGATGTTAATTCTGAAACTGCGCTGAAGTTACTGAATATTAAGATATCAGAATTCAGATAACAGACTGGAGATTCTATCGCAGTCGGATGATTATTTTACTTAAGTTCTTTTGGTTCCTCTCCGTCTGATCGCATCAGACTAAAATTACCTTGCTTGGGGCTTCACAAACAACACATCGACTGATGTGCCTTTGTGACTCGTTTGCGGGGAACGGATTCCACATCATCGGCTCCTCCTCTGTGCTCAACCAGTAACTTCGGTCATTGCGTTGAGCGTAGTAACAGTTTTCTTGCTTTTCGCAAAACATGAACGGAATTGGGTTGAAAAGTTGCAAACAGGATCCCGGACTGGCCAGGTCATTCACGTGGGCGCGATCCGAACCGGTCATGCTCAGGAATGAGTAGCCTTCCCAGAGTTTGTGGGTTCCAGATGGGCAATAAGGAATTCTGGTCGATTGACTGTGCCTACAATGTAGAAGGTATTTGAAGGAGTGGTGAACATATAATCTGGAAGTCGGTTTCCCTGAACAGGTATCTATATTCGTGAAGGATAGTGAGCATATTAGAGGAGCATTAAGGCTGATTGATACCTAAATCTGAGAGGGACTAACAGGTTTCCTAAGGAATAGTGATGGTAGTCAATCGTAAGATAAGTAAACGGTCACTCTCACTGTAATTGTATAAAATCGTTCGGCTGATTTTAAAACGTCACAAACGATGTAAAATGACTCCTTGATATCAGACGTCTCTGCTAAGGTCAACTTGCCAACCACGTTGATCCGCCGTTCAAGTCTGAAATTAATCTACTTTGCGGTGACAAATTCAGGCACAGATGCAACATAGTCCTCTTTAACTGATGAAAGAAAAGCCCGCAAAACGATTTCTTCCAAGTGGAACGTTGGAATTCAATCAAATCATCCGGCTGTATCACCGCTTCGATACATAGCCAAAGCATAACAAGGTGAGAGCACGGGGACTAATGTGGCATGTGGATGCTCAAGCGGAAAAAGCTGAACTATTGGGAGTGGAAACTCGGGAGCTGCTGGTTTCATTTATCCCAAAGGACCGTGAGATACGCACCAGGGTTTGAGCTGACTTTCTGTACTAACAGAAAAACTGGTGCAGATACCCACAGATTTTACCGGAAATGCCATCATTAGTTTGCCTTACAATAATAAAAAACACCAAATGCACTCTATTCATGCTTGTCTAAAATCAACGACCAAATGTTGAGGGAAACGAAACGCTACTTACACGGTGAAAAGATGTCCAGTGTTTCCACGCGTATCACCCACAACTCCTCCTATACCAGGTTCACCTGCTGGCCCAATATCACCCGGAGCACCCTGAGGTCCAGCTATACCTTTGGGACCCTGTGGCCCTGGATAACCTTTAGGACCCTTGGGTGCTGGCTCACCTTCATCACCAGGTGGGCCCGGTGGACCCTGCCTTCCCCGACTACCCTCATCTCCTGGTCTTCCGGGTTCACCTGGTCTGCCAGCTGGACCTGGGTACCCTTTTTCACCCTCCAAACCGGATTCTCCTATTCCAGGAATACCTTCCGGTCCAGGTAACCCAACAGGCCCCATGTCACCTTTCTGACCTTCTCGGCCTTTTTCACCAGGTCTTCCCGGTTGTCCTCTCATCCCCTTTTCACCAGGTTTTCCAGGTCTACCCGGCTTTCCGTCCAGTCCACGAAGGCCCTTCTCGCCTTGCATGCCTTTCATACCCTGTTCAGAGAAAGAACCATAAAGATCATCAGAACAACCATCAAAATTCTACGCTAAATGAGTATATTTTTTGGGGGAAAATAAATGCTAACAAGAAATGCAGGTTGATTTCTTTCGAAATAAGTTATCAGGCTATATGAGTCAAGGCAGAATTCAACTCCCAGTGAACCGAAGATACAACTTCCAAAGATCACTTTGTAAAAGTGTTGCAGTGAGGAATGAAGTCATCTTACCGGCCTTCCAATTGATCCTGGGTAGCCTTTTGGTCCAGGTTCACCTTGAAATCCTTTGGGACCTTCAACACCAGGCAGTCCGGTTGCCCCGGGCCGACCGGGAAATGAGCCTTTTAGTCCTTTGGGACCTGGTGGACCGCGTATTCCAGGAGGACCTGGTGGCCCAGGCAGACCTTTCTCGCCTGGTGCACCTGGTAAATCTGCTCCTGGATCACCTTGAGGTCCTGTATCACCTCGATCGCCTGGTCTTCCTGCCTCTCCTTTTGTTCCTTGCGGTCCCATTGGACCGGGAAGTCCAGCTTCTCCCTTCTCTCCCACAGGCGACTGAACGGATTGCCCTCGATCACCTGGTTCACCACGATCTCCAGGCAAGCCTGATTTGACAGAAGAATAAATTGTTGTCATACATCGTTTTGTAAGAGCAAATGGTTTGAAAATTTTTTTATTCAGTCTACTATTAGAAAAGTGTGACGGAAAGCTTCTGTTGAAGCCAAGAATAGTTATCGGGTTGGTTGTGCTGAGGCAACTCGTTCGTAGTTTGACGCGTTCCATTTACTGAGGTTAGAAAGGCCACACTAAACGCGGTAGACTACATGAGTTATCCATAAGCAGAATGTGAGAATTTTGTTCCTCCACCCATTCATTTCGTTTGTCGTGGGTGCTCGTAAATCGTAAGTGGATGTATCTAATAAAATCTGTCAGCTAGAATGCCAAACGGAATTACAATAAATTTGTCCAAAGCCAGTCAGAACCTTACGCGAAGAACCTTCCATCATTTGCAAACTAATTTGGTTTGCGAGAGACTACAATAAATTTGTCCAAAGCCAGTCAGAACCTTACGCGAAGAACCTTCCATCATTTGCAAACTAATTTGGTTTTGCGAGAGACCCACCTGGAACCCAGCTGAATCTCTCGTTTGTGATGTTTCCAGGCAAATGAACGTGTTGTACCAGGCCGACTTATGATTTAGTCGCTACGATATTCGAGATATCGCGATACATATATATTTTGTGATGCACTACTCATGTATCGCGATTTGTCGAAGATCGTAGCGACTGGTGCAGCACATTCAGTTGCCTGAAAACATCACAAACGAGAGATTCAGCTGGGTTCTAGTTGAGTCCTTCGAAAAACCAAATTAGTTTGCAAATGATAGTAATTCGCTAATTTCGAGAAATTTTTGGTTTCAAGTAGGACATAAGGTTGACGGAAACTCGGGGACTGCGCCTACCTGATGAGCCCCAAAAAGGGCGGAACCGGTCGTAGGTTGTCAAGGTGTTTTTAAAAACCTTATGATTAGTTCAATACAAAAACCTTCCATCCTCTCCGCGACTGAGAAACCGAAGAGAACAAATATTTCATTTTAGCTGAACAGGAAACAAGGACAGGTATTCAGTCTGTGTTTATAGCTCAGCGTGAAACATATCAGTTGATATCAGAAAGCAGTACTGGAAGATTTTTAGCACTGTTTGTACACCCCAGGAACCGATAGAGTACCAAAGACTTTTTCGTTGATATCCTGGCAGAAATTTACGCTAAGAGTAAATCGAGTTACAAGGTAACAAGGCCCAAAATATCTAGCACAAACACTGGAAGGAACGGTGTCATTCGCCTGTACCAAATCAGTGTGGGTAGTTTGTTAGGCATCTATCACTCCAGTCACAGAAAATGCTGCCGACATCGTTGTCGCTCATTGAAAAATCCATCCAGTAGATACCTGGAAATCGTTCTCTGCACTTCAAGAACCTCTGGCCGTTGACTAGCACCTCAACTGCCTTGATGGAAGCCACCCAGGTTCCATGTACAGCTATTCGTATCAAAAGCTCCCCTGAAGCATCGGTGATCCAGGTTTAGACTTTTCAATGAATCCATTGTAAATAGCGGTTATCGTGAAGCACGTTGATGTTCTACCTCCGACAAACAGTACTCGTAGTCTCCAAGGCTTTAACCCTTTTTTCTTCTACCTAGTTAGTTGGGCGACAGTTTGTAACCCAGGCTACGGAAACAACCGATTTATCGGCCCTTAAATCTCAATAAATTTACAATGGATATAATAAAGTGCAGTGTGCATGAGATGCATCCATCCACCCATCCATAGGCTTTGTTGCTCTTGTGAAGAATAAATAGTATTCCGCTTCACAACAGACTTTCTGATGAGACATAGGTCAACCAGAACCACTCTACTACATATCCCGTAAAACTTACCTTCTAGTCCAAGATTTCCCTTTTCACCAGGCGGTCCTCTGTTGCCCTTTAAACCTGGAGAACCATCTGGTCCACGTGGACCCGGACTTCCTTTCAGACCTTTCAAACCAGGGAAGCCTTTGATGCCCTTCAAACCTGCTGGACCAGATGGACCACGTATACCAGGGACTCCGTCATTTCCTCTCGGTCCCGGAACACCCTTCGGACCCTTCTGTCCCACGAACCCCGGTTCCCCCTTTGCTCCTTTCGTTCCAGGAATCGGTTCCGCATATGTGATCCCTGGCATGCCTTTTGGACCCTTCTCGCCCTGTGGAAATGTGGACAGTAGTCGGCTTAGAACCATCACATTTCAGTTCGTTTAGGATGGAAAGATAGGCCGATGTATGCATGTCTTTTACATAAATAATTGAAAGAGCGAAATGCGGAATTCAGTTATTTGCACAAACTATTGGGGAATCTGAATTGCTATCTTATTGATTGTATCGCAATTGTACACCATGATTGGCATCATACGATTCAGATGGAATATCCATACATTTCCTGAAACGACGCGTTATGACGATTAGTCTGAAAAAACAGTGCCAAATAAACCCACAAACATCCTGACAGCTGGAGTTATGGAATAGAATCTTTTCAGGCATTTGCTTGCTGTTTACAGTGTGCTGAAAACTTTCTTTTTTTGTTCAAAAATAAGAGCGGTCGTTTGATCAGGCTGAATGCAGCGCATTCATCCATCGGTTCTGGTAGAGACGCTACTGTCACGGAGCTCACTATCAAACTACACACACCATGGATGTTGTCAAAGGTATCCTCTGGCTCCGATACCTCTGTTGCAGAGTATGATTTTGGATCACGTATTGCCAAAGAACTAGCTAAGCAAACAGCTCTAGCACATCAAAATGAATCAGTTCTACTTCCGGGGTACTCTTTAGTCATTTAGGATCCAATATAACGATACATGCTCGAATTTATCAGTCTCAGTACTGTGTATTCCTCTCAAGACTAAGCATGGGAAAGCTATCCATCTTATTAGCCTATGGTTCGAAAACCCACAAGGTACAACAGCATACCTTACTTTATTGGTAAATGCGTTGTTAGAAATTGAATGGAAATATCCTATCGTCAATCCGATTCAGCGTGATGAATATCTCCGTCAAACATCAGGAATGGAAAAGAGGTTGTAGGTTTTGAATCCGCCAGTAAATTTTTGAATGATTATTCAAATCATTGAGTAGTTAAGTTTCGACAAGTCCGTATTACTACTGCACTAGCTACCCAGAGTATTTCTCAGGGTCTCTACCCGATGCGTATCAACAAATATGAATTGCGTGAGTTCAACAGTCCAGACATTGTAAAACCTAGTCTTATCGTTCCTTGCCATGGAGTGTGGAAAGAAAATGGAATGGCTGAACAGCACCGCGTAAGTTTACGATCTTCTTATCATCAAAAGTTAGTTTTTATTCCGTCTCGCGAAGACACCGAAACGGCCAAGTTGAAACCTGGCCCCAACCAAATGAGGACCCCATGCAGTAGGCAAGCACAGAAAGTGTACTGGAGCACAAACTTCTGCGAATGTAAAACTGGATGATCTGAAACAGGAGGGGCGCCGAGCAAAATGACATTCATGTACAAACTAAATTCAAAAATAGCCATTAAAGTTTTTGGGATGAAAAGGTCCAGAAAGTCATCGTTGCTGGATGCACCAGGTTACTCGGAGGGGGGTGGACTGCCATTCAGCTAAATAATTGGACCAATCGTTGGTGGTCAGATTCTCTGGGGGTCGAAACATAAAAGATGACTTAAACAAGGATTCAAACTGGTCTACTGTGAGAAGCGGTTTGGTAACTAAACGGTCTGAAAGTGCTAGTCAAATGAGGGTATCTCTGATTTTTACGTGCTGAGCTATTTGAAGTACAACCATATTTTCGTGATACCTTGTGATCAGATTCCAAGTCCACGGCTTAGCGACAGTCAAGTCAGCCTCAGGAATCGATGGTAAGAAAATGAAGGGTCGAGTGATTTCGAGCTTTTCGAGGCAGAACAATATCTTAACCTTTAGTGCTTGGAAACCGCAATGATACCCATACGTCATTGCTTAACATTATTACTGGCCTCTTTCTTAAAAGTCGTAAACTGTGGATGATACAGTTGCAGCGTACCTGCTCGCTTTTCAACATAAGATGGATTCGTATGTCAGACGAAGTCTTGATTGTAATACCTTAAATCAGATCACAGTTTTCTAAGAATAATCAGAAGGACCGAACAGTTGAGTCCCTCCTCTTGAGATTGTTGTTTCAACAAGATCACCACCAACCTTAAGATATAAATTATGCTGTGTAACTCACCTTGGCTGCATTTGGATACCTCCACCACCCCCTCCCCCGAAGTGAAGGGTGAAACTGCTATAGTTATGACTTAGTAGACGGTACAATCAACCAAAGCGCTAGGCCAAGTTTAGTCTTATTCTCTGACCAGATCCAGTTCTGGAATGCCGTCATCAACCTCGTTCTATAACATCCCAAAATGCAAGAACGTACGGCACAATACAACTCCATCCGTTTCTGTTTTAACCAAACAAAGTTGTAAATTCATTCAGTGTAACAATCTTTCGATGATTTCAGATGATGAAACTTCAACACAAGCAACTCACAGATGGGCCGGATAGTCCTTTGGGACCTCTAGGGCCAGGTTCACCCGGTTCACCAACTGCCCCGTTTCTCCCAGGACGTCCAACAGAACCTGGCAAACCAGGGTCTCCTTTTTCACCGACTGGGCCGGGTGGACCCATATCGCCCGGTCTTCCCTGCTTGCCGTCTAGGCCCGCCACACCTTTGGGACCCTGAATACCTGGTTCTCCCTTGAAGCCCTTTTCACCTTTGTGACCTTTCGTCCCGAAGCCTCTGGGACCAGGAACGCCCTTGGCACCCATTATTCCTGGATCACCTTGTTTACCAGGCTGACCTTTTATTCCTGCAACGTAAAACAGTGGTAAGGTGTGATAAATTCTGCCTTCAGACAATCATGGTACTCATGCTGAGAGTATCAAGGATTCTTAGCTCAGAGTTCGCCAATAAATTCTACTGAAAAAAATATTGAAAAAAGATCACTTTTCGAAGTTTATCACAGTATCACCATAAATGAAACCAAGTCGCATGTGCATGTGGCATTTAGGATCAAGTTAAAGCTTTGTAAGGGTGAAATGAGAATCGCTGCATACCCATTCCTTGAGGGTAAAAATCGATGACGTGGAGATTATTGCCGTTTTAATTGGCCTGTTTGTTCTACTCACTCGAGGATACACATGTTAAGTATTTGCGATATTGGGTGATACTGCAAAGGACAGACAACACGACCAGCGGTTTAGCTTTAACCAATTGTGGGCTTGTTCAACCTCTCTACAGATCAGCCCTTATCTGGAGAACCAGGCTAGACAGAGGCAGATAGAGAACAACAAAGAAACCTTCAGATCCAGTGAGTCTTAGTGTATAACTTTCCTGTTTGGTTAAGGTCGGTGTGCAAACGTAGATGTTACGCCCAATTCATACCTACAAACTGTGAAGTTTTGCCTACATAACACTGGGAGCCTGAAGTAACACAGTCTAGATTAATAACACGGTGAGCGAAACCAAAAGTGTGTGTTTCAAACATCGCACAGCGGCTAAGAGACAACGCTGGTCACTTATGCATATGTGCCATTAGTAGTATTTGACTGATAACCAGTTCGCCGAGATGCGCAACATAACTCGCCCAGTGCTGTGTCAACCTCTCTAGCAGACTATGCGTGTGCTGTCTACTTCATTCATTTTTAATAGGTCCTCATTCAGTGTAGCTGTATGATATTGCAGAAGAGTGCAGCGCGATTTATTTACCAGTGATACTTCGTCACCAGAGAAGTAGTAAGCATATAAGCGACTCTTTGTGTCCGCAAATTCCTTGTCTTCATTCTCCGATAGTGATGGATATAGACACATGCAGTATCTCAGCGTTCTGTGCCTTGCATGTGACTTGAAACGCATTCAAGCTTATATGTAATACGCTACTCATAAGATTGCTGAGAGCTCTTTGACAGCAACCTTACGAGTAGTGTAATACGTCAATATAATGCACCGCTATATCTCGGATATCGTACCAGCTAAAACATGAAGTGGCTTGGTGCAGCACATTCATTTGAGGACATAATAAACGAGAGGTTCAAATGGGTTCCAGGTGTCTCCCGTCAAGACTAAGTTGGTATGCAAATGAGTGTATGCCAGATTTAGTTTCAGATAAATGATGGTCTGTGGGTAATGTCGGTGTCGATCACGTAACTGCCTTTAGGCGATTAGGGATGGCGACTCATACGCTGCTGCATGAAACCTACCGACTTCAGTTAAAGTTTCCTCACAGTTCTACCTAGACAGATGGTCAACTACCCAAATACAACTACGTTGTATTTGGCATACTCACGTGATATGCTTGCCAACTTCTTCGTAAGTGGTTTGTCACCAATATTCTTAGATGGCCAACCGACACGATGATACGTTGCTCCAGTACGTCAAGTTCAATCTCACTTCCCTTGATGCGTCCCGTCACCCACTAAGGTGGAACTGACAGACAACTTCGATAGCCTGATAGAGCGCATCCCGACTACACACAACAACTTGGGACAATCCACCTCGCTTGTCACACTTAATGGACACCAGCTTCATCTGTAGCCTGTCATTTACTTGAAGCTGTAACTTGTCTTGATCGGAATATTGCGGTGCCGTTGGTCCTTAGCACATGGGATTTGTTGTGGTGCTATAGTGCTGTCAAAATACAACAACCAGAACTGTGCAACCAAAGTCGCAGCCCGCTTTGTTAGTGCTGACCTAGCAACTGGCTTGCCCGCAGTACTCCCGTGAAAAAAAACCTCGTTTAGTTTCATTTATTGTACGTTTTTATGGTACTACGAGCCCGAAGAGGGATGGAAAAATACAACCGGTGTATTGATTTCGTTGATCGAAACCTGACTCACCTTTTACTCCAGGAAATCCTTTCTCTCCCTTCAATGACTCGCCGATGCGTCCAGGTTGTCCGGGCGAACCTTTTGGTCCAGGCTTTCCGGGTATTCCTTTGCTTCCTCTAAAACCTGGTGGTCCAGCGGGTCCAGGATCACCGGTGTCTCCTCGTGGACCGGGCGCACCGTCGTCACCAGGAGGGCCTGTCACACCCTTTGGACCAATGCGTCCTGGTAAACCAGGTTCTCCTTTTGGGCCAATTTGTCCTTGAGTACCCGGTAGACCAGGAGGACCTGGAATGCCCAGTTTTCCACGTGGACCCTCTTGACCAGGCAAGCCATCTACACCTTTGGGTCCTGGCAAACCTTTGGGTCCCTTCAACTCCAGACCGGGCACGACATCCAAGCCTTTCTCACCACGTAGTCCTTCTGGGCCTGGATCACCGGGCTGGCCCTTCTGCCCTTTTTCTCCTTTACGACCTTGCAAAACATCTCCAGCCTCACCGGGATCTCCTCGAGGGCCACGATCACCTGTCTCACCCTTCTTTCCTGCGAATCCTGGAATACCATCCATGCCTCGTTCACCTTTAGTACCTTTCAGTCCAGGATATCCCTTGGGACCGGGAGGCCCTGGCATCCCTGGTTCGCCCTGATGCCCTGGGGGTCCTTTTCCAAAGCTTCCTGCTGGACCTGGAGTTCCACGTTCGCCTGGTTCTCCTGGGGGTCCAGGAAAACCTTTCATTCCTTGAGGACCGGGGGTACCTTTAGGACCTATAACTCCGGTGGGCCCTGGTTGGCCTTTGACGCCCTTAGGACCTGCATATCCTGGGTCACCATCTGGACCTGGCAAGCCAACTGGGCCTGGATAACCCTGCTTACCCTGTTTTCCGAGCATGCCGGGTAAACCTTTTTCACCTTCACGTCCTATAGGAAAAAATCATAAAAGTGACGCTCTTAGTAATGAACGCAACCGGACATTTTTGCTCACTATAGGGTGCAACACAGGACATTTAGTCAATAGTAGAATGGAATCAGAAACAGGCTGGTTCGTTGATCACTCCAGCCAACAAGGTTCAGGCTTTAAGATGGTTGAACACAACCCTAGGTAGTCGTATCACAGTGACTTTTTCGTAAATCGCGGTCACAACTAAACGACAAAGTATATGCACAAGAAATTGCTGTCGCTATTAAAACAGACCAATGTGAAGTGTAAGTAGTGCACTCAATGTTCTTCGGGATATTTTCTTTCAAGGAGTGAATGCAACCAAAAGTAGTAGTTAGCTATTCTAGTTTTGATTAACTATATCACGGAAGGCGATATTTTTGTCAAAGTGCGTCTGGCCACAACGGCTGGGAATAGATTGCCAAGATAAATGATCCTCCATCGATGGAAAGCAATCCATCTGTGAAGAGCGTCTTTCCTATGAGTAACTGGGAAATCTATCTGACGAAGGTTTTATGTGGAGTAGAAGAGGCTGCGTTAGTGTAATCGTCACATGTCAATAGCCTGCGCTCTACGCACATACCTTACTATACCCTACTATACTATACCTTACTAGCTCGATCCGCACTTTGGATACTATGCGTAAGCTATTGCATTTGCATTGAGACACAGGTCAGTATGCGAAAATTAGGTCAACAAAGCCGACCCCGCAGTCTACTGGTTAAGCGATCTAACTACTAGCCGGAAGGTTGCGGCTTTGGAACCCTCTCGAGTCTCGTGAGGTGCGCACTGCTGATGATTCCCCAGCTGTGCAGTACTTAGATTTTCCGCAAAGACTGGCTTTACTTCCAGGACGAAACCTCAAGTGTAAAAACTCACAAATCTCACAAAAATAGTTTGTCAGATAGCTTGACGAATGTGGTTGGAATCAATGAAAAAAGGATGGGAATTTCAATTCGCTGGGAAACCAGTGACCGTAATTTGGTGTCCGGAGGCCAGCCGTCCCTAATAACCGAACAAAACATCATTTGGGCGGGTGTGTCACTTGCAGGTCACGGACCAAACGAAGGCATGCCCTGATCGGTCAGAATGCCAGCCAATCTGAGTCGAGCATCCTTGACTGGACGCCTCTCACCCCCTCAAGGTGCTCCTAGCACGACCTTGTGGAACGCTGTGATTACCCTATAAATACAGATGTAATGATTCTCCTTTTGTCTCCATAAAGGGCTGTGTAGAGCTGCCGTGCCTTTTGGTATACCATAGTGGGTGGAACAAGAAGCCAAGAGACCGATGCGGAGTTGCACGATCGTCCATCAAGACACAACATTTGGATACGTACTGGGTAGAATGTCATAGAATGGGTGTTGTCGATTTCGAATATTATACTGCGTGAAATATTCGACATAAATATGAGCTATTCGTCCTCACCAGAACTTTTTGTAAAATACTAAGTGAACTTGTAGCGCACAACGTCGATACAGTTGTCATCAGAAATTCAGCTTCATGCTCACAACTCTAAGACTTCTCATAGCACTTCCAAACATTCAGAGGAGAGATATAGAGCATCTACTCCTGTGGATCAACTGATCGACGCAGGGATGCACAACGAGCGTCCTCCTTCTTCCGCACTTTGTCTACAAAATCTGCATCACATTGAAGTTTGTTGTCACACATACACACATATGGCAACATCTCACTTGTGGTTCACACTTACCAGCTTGGATGCATGGTGAAACAGTTCAGTGAAGACCGCATGTGTCAGAGTTCTTGGGGTCCAAAAACATGCGTCACTAAGACATAGTACATTTGGACAGTAATTTCACGAATGGTATATTTTCCTTCTCTTTCGATCAACTACGTCAGGCATCTAGTGTCACTTAAATGATGGGCTGGCAGTTTCACATCTCACCACTGTTTTGAATCACTCAAATATCAGTCTGACGCTTTTCGCAGAAAAGTGCTCGCGGTCCACCCAACCTCAATATGTAAATAAAGGCAGGCTTCAGATCTTTGCACCATTGAAAAATGTTACCAGTTGTCTTTACTGGGTGATTTAACTGGGGCCTGACTGGACCAGATGACATGTAATTCCAGATTACAGTACATCAGAGCATGCCCATTATGTGCCCTAATAGGCCTGTCTAATGCAAGTTACTAAGCTGTTCCTTGGGACGTTTAAACGAATTGTGCTATTTAGATTTACATCGGAGCTAGATACTATCATATACATTATTGGGAATGAAATTCGTATAACCCGGTCCTCGGAGCCAACAGTCATACAGCCGCCACTGTGATGACCCGATGGGGAATGAAGACACTAACCTTACACACACTTTTGTGAGTTCTCGTCCAATACGTCCTAGAAGCAGGAAGCTTTGGAAAAACAACGTTCGAGATGATGTATAGTTGATTGGAGCTCTCAGATTCCACCAACTCGGTGACTGCTTTATCTAAGTTATTTGGGTAGCTGATTTCAACTCGTACCGTTACTCACAGGGTCAGCAGACTTAACTTTTATGCCCTGCAAAGTCAGTTGATACGTTTTATTTTACACAACATCTGTTGCATGTTTTGCTACGAAATAGCTCAAACAGATAGCCTCCCAGGTGACCACCGTGAAGTCGACCGGTAAGCTGGGATTGAAATGGGCCATTTGACGAACGTTTTTTGTGCTTGAGGACGTGTGGAACATGGATACTAATTGTCTGGCATGACGAGGTCGGTGTCCAGCAGTGGACACGCAAGGCGCTCTATCAGCTGTGTCTCCCGGTCATAATGACCTTCAATTGAATGTGCTGAACGAATAAGATCTCGTCTTACAGCTGGAACGACAGACAGTGTATCGCTGTATTTTTATTGACTCAATACTGCTTGGCAATGTTGTGGAATGTAGGTAGCTCGGGTGCGCTGCTTGGTTGTTGATCTGTTCGCCGAGCTTGGCAGTTGGATTACAAACGTTTCATCGCCAATCGAGGTGACATCGTCACTGCACTCAACCCACTCAACCCTGCACTGACGATATCACCTCGATTGGTGATAAAACGTTTGCAATCCAATTGCCAAGCTCGGCGAACAGACCAACAATCAATACTGACTACACAGCAGCCTTATAAGTAATGTTGGATCATGAAAACGCTCCACGTTTCGTTTGAAAGCCTGCGCCTAGTTTCCCGTAAAGTCCCATGATAACGGATTGTTGTGATCAAAGCTTGGCTGGTGAGGCTGTTGTGGGATGGCTGGGGCAGGGCTTGTAAAGACAGCTTAGCCACCTGAGCATGGCATGTGTACAATTGACCTGCACCAATCCCAGTGTGGGAAGTTGCCAGCCGTACGTTTTGGCGTAGTTGCACGAATAACTGTCAAAAACTGTTAAATAAACCCCCATTGGCCGTAAGCTAGGGTTCACAAAAAAGGCTGCCTCGATGAAATGCCATGACACTGAAAGAGGTGCTAGGTCTTGTTACCTAAATCTGTGGCACCACAAGTGTGTTGGACGAAATCATTCTAGTAATGCAGTCAGTCGACCACGCTGTTTCATTAGTGGCTGAATGACGATAGGACAATCGTGCCTAAGGAACGAATTCGAGTGCTTCGTGAGGATATTGCATACAACCACCGTACATGGACCAGTGCTTACGATTTGAGCGCGGGTGGCAAAACTCCAGACTGAATGTATATGATCAACGTTATAACGGTAACTGACCTTAAAAACGCCTGTGCTCACAGTCCATTTGAATCTCATAGTGCGCACAGACCTCAACGAAAACAGTAAAAGGCCGTGGTCAGCCATCCGGTCGCCTTCAAAATAAACTCTCTGGTTCACCTACGCTGACACGTTTCAAGATCCTGGTTTAGCTAACGCTACCACAAGTGCATACAGTAATTATCTTCCCCTGAATTGGCATCAAAACCACCAGTTTAAATTTCCTTCTCTCAGTATTCCGAACAACATTGTTGATTCAGAATCACCAACGACTTTGGCCATTACGCATGAAAAACAGCCACTTGCCATTCAATTGATCAGTAACCTAGGTAATCTCGGAGAATCAAAAAGGGCCACGTCAGCCGTCTTTTGAAGCAATGTTGTGGACTAGAATCACATCTGTTCAGCGGCACCAGTAGTTTGCGGAATAGGGTTCCGAATAGGAATGGAACTTTTCGCGGTTTCTTTTGTCCCAAACCGTTACATTCAGGAAGTCGGCGTTTTCGAAGACGGATAACATGTGATATTTTCCCGCAAACCATGTATAAGTGGCGGGGTAGAAGAACCAGTATTCTACCGGTATCCAGAGGGTAAAAAGCAAGAACAGATGTTAAATTTTCCGTGGAAGCATGAAAACGCAGCGCGCGTAGTTTCAGTCGAGTTTCGATATGAGTAAAAGGTGATGAATTGGCTGTCCATCTGTTAAGGTTGACCGATATATCACACTGCTTATCTTCATGTGACAGAAAGAGAACTGTAACAACTGTATGGTCTTACCCTGTTCTCCAGGAAATCCTGGTAGACCTTTTTCACCTGGATAACCTTTTGGGCCAGGCTCGCCTTTGACATACTCGTAGAGCTGATCCAGATAAATGTGCTCACCTGCAAACGGATAAATATAAAAATGGTGGTTGTGAATACTGACCCCGCGCATTCACAGAACAAAGGAAGATCTCATTGTGAGTATATCTCACCGTCACATCTGATAAGCCCAAAAGATGCTTTATTCTAGGAGATTAATAAACGAAGCTTGATTTCCTTTAGGGCAACCTCAGTCTATTCATGCAAAACCATAGGATTACAAGCAGCTGCGTTGGTAACTCTTTGTATACTTCATTGGACTACAGATCTGTTCTCTCCTGACTGGTATTCGATCGGTTTCCCTTTTTTCGAAGTCGCGTTGCTGACTGCCTAACTGAAGTCCGAATTCAACATTGTTAAGAACCTTCATCGATTGCCTAGAGCGCGATTTCTCACATCCGTTCGGTTATTGACCAGTGGTGTTGTCAACTTGTAGCGCGCTGGCCCACTGGTTCCGTGTGACCTGGTCATCCCACAATAGTTATTGTATGATTGTATGTATAGTTATTGTATAGTTATTGTATTGGCACAATTCCGAGTAGTTAAACTCTTCTGAGAACACGAAGTCTCTGCTGACACCATTGGTAGCTTTTGCCTATCCGGAAAACCTAGTGGACATCACCCGGAACAATCGCTAAACGAGACATCCACAGATGTGAGAGTGTTGTCATCCTCAACTTACTTACTTGAAGTTGATCCTCTGACTGGTCTCATCCGCATAATCTGAGTAATATTCAATCATCAGATATGAAGATCCATGGTTAAACGTCATAATTTTTGCCGTGAGTGCCCCAGACATTCTCGGCACACTAGATCATTTGAAGTAGTCCTGTGGAGACAAGCTTTCTCGTTTCCAATTCAAGTTGAACTGTACGCAGATTCTGCCCCTAATGTTGCACATATAGGTACTCAAACTTTTTTACAAACAACATTGGAGAGCTATGCCTCTCATATATATAGTGTCATGTGCCTCCTAGCTGACACCATGCTGTTTGCAAGTTTGGAGTAACCGCAACTTTGAAGCATTTGTTATTTCCTCACTTCATACACATAAGGCACAGGGTAAAGCTGAGACAGACAGTTTTGTAATCATAAACGCCACACATCTTACTAATCTCTGTCGGGTATACACAAACTCTCATTCTAACTGATAGTATCACCCAATTATTCTCGAACGGCCTGATCACCTTTTTCGCACAACATACGATGATAAATTGTATTAGAAGCGGTGTACCGTTTCCGTTCAACACTATGTCCGTTTTCGAAGTTTAAACAAGATATCCAGTAAGTGGAGTCCACCTTTTCCTAGAATTTGATGGTTTGAAAGTCACGAGTACTGGAAAGTAATTTCAGCAAAAACCCCAATCAAAGCATTCATCCTCAGCGGTTTACGCAGAAGTAACTCCGGTTTCGGTGTGACATTTTCCGATCGGACTAGATAGAGCTGTATGGGAGCTTTTCTCTACTGTGGCCAGTCAAATTAGGAGATCGGTCATGATTCATCATATCGATTCATCGATATCAGTATAAAAGGAGTGCTTTTGTATGCGTCTACTTCCCTATTACAACCTGCCTTACTCCTATCACCCCACATTAACCGTGTTTGACTGATGTTTGATTCCTACTAATCCGCCTGCAACTGCCAGAAGTAAACAACCCAAGGATCAGTATTTCCGGTAGAATCGACTCCTCACAACGTAGCACCTCTCATACCCACACGCGTTCACAACCTGAGGCCACCTGCCGTAATGAGTGCTCTCGACTGATTAAAACTTCGCTTACTTGCTACCAACTATACCTACAGCTTACCATCTTCTCCAGGTTCGCCTTTTGCACCTTTGGGTCCATCACGCCCAGGTAGGCCAGGTGATCCCTTGCGAGCATCGAATACACGGCCTGGTATTCCGGGTTCTCCTCGCTGCCCAGGTTTACCAGGAGTACCGTGGAAACCGGGCAGACCAGCTGGACCAGGTTCACCCTATGATGTGATTGAAGTACGCAAATTAGTCAGTCTTTCGGTGAACTACAGAATTAAAAAAGAGAATTCACAAATATTAATGATAGTACCCTATGGATGGTTGAATATCCGTATTCTCACTCACTCTGAATCCTTTCGGGCCAGGTACTCCCTTGGGACCGGGATAACCTTTTGGACCCGCCTCTCCAAGAATTCCCATTCGACCGGGCATTCCAATCTCACCACGAGGAGCTTCTGGAACAGTTGCATTCACAAATTCCACAGGACCTGGTTCACCTTTCATTCCACGCGGCCCATCGCTGCCGCGCTCACCTTTCTCCCCCTTTGAAAGATGGAATAGTAAATACGTTCAAACCTTGCATCTGTATTAGGTAGCTTGAACCGTTTAGATACACAAGTCAGAAATTCTACACCATATCTTTATACTTACAAAAAACATGAGGGTAGTTTGGTCTCATTGTTCTGGTATGTAAACTCATCATAAGAATGTTTTATCAGAACAGGCGATCAGTTACACTCAACGCATCCTTGACTCTACAATGAATTCGCGCATGACTAGAACAGGTTCAAGTACGTCTTTATTCGCCTATGGGGTACAGGATATGCATGAGTTGATCAGATAATTGATTTTGATTTGATGCACAAATCTGGTACTTTTTCCATACCTAATGACGTCTGGTACATTTCTCGTTAGTTTTCACAACATTCGTGAGAATGCATTTCCCCAAAACAAAACTTGTCCATTTTTGTTTTATATCGAAAAAGGAAACCACTCATAAGGTGGCTGAAAACCATTTGACAGCCCGTGACTGGTTTTGCCCTTCTTGGTGCTCGTCAGATAGGCGCAGTCCCACAGTTTCCATCAACCTTATGTTCTGTTTGAACCCGAATCGCACGAAATACAGTCACTTGAATGCCAAGTTGGTGCGGAAACTCACCTGAAATCCAGATGAACAGCTCGTTTATTGTACGAAAATGAGTGTATCTGTCGAATCTAACCACTTCCTTTTAGATTTCCTACGGAGCTGCATAGCTTATAGTACCGGGATTCAAGGCTTGAATTCAGTCCTGATTTTAATCACGCGATTTCGGCTCACTATCCCAATTGAAAATTTGCTCATCATAAAGTGGGAAGATGGGTGTTGCGAAAATTAGAAAAGTATTTCACCATTCAGCTTGGTTTTACAGAGGATCGTCACGCGGTTTTAGCGGTTTCGGTTCCAAGGCTCGCTAGATAACATTTTCCAGTTTCCATCGATCCCGTTTGCTCGCCGGACGCCTCTGAATTGAGACTAGTTTGTTCATCTTGTTCGTACCTTGGACCACATGTTCTATGCTTCAGTAACAGTGAATTAACGTAGAGCACCACGATCGTAAAGCTTTTCTTATGAAGCATCCATTTTACATGCTGTCTGCTCACATACTTCAAAACCTGCTTTCACAATACGCAGTTACGTATAACGCAACCAGTAAAGCCGAAAGGAACAATGTTTATAATTTTTGTGAGGGCTTCCGGAACCTACCTTTTCTCCAGGAAATCCAGGTTGTCCGTCCTTGCCCTGAGGTCCAACTAGACCCTTTTGTCCGGGTGCTCCATCCAATCCGGGAAGACCAGCTGGTCCAGGTTGACCTGGGAAACCCTTGGGTCCAGGAATCCCGGGCCTGCCATCCGGGCATACAACACAATCTCCTTTCGGGCCAATGGGACCAGGGTCACCATCCCGTCCACGAAGTCCAGCCAGACCAGGCATGCCCTTCACACCTTTTGGTCCAGCTGGTCCATCAATGGTCGGCCCGTCCTCCCCAGGTTCACCCTTGATACCAGGCAGACCAGTATCTCCGCGTTCACCTGACAAAATGAAGAGAGATTACACCTTATTGACTGATTCAGTGATGTCATCTGTCAGTCACGCAATCCACCAAATTGTCATTCTACCACTGAAATATTATACTTCCTCACCTGTGTTCAAAGCGACAGAAAAGCCCCCAAGGCACAAAATATACCAGAAGTTTCTGAAGGGTAGTAAGATAGATATTCGTTACAGCTCATGTTATATTTTTTGAATGGCAAGTAATCCCGGCTCCTATTGCATAAAAATTGACTTAAGTAGTATTAGCACCCCCGCAGACACTCCTAATTCTCGTTTCTTGAGTAGTTATGCAGATATTAGATTTTATCTGGCAAATTGAGAGTGAGCGTGGATGGGTACGCGTTTCTTTAGGTGTGTTTTCCAGAAACGCAGCAGTTTTTCTAACGCGGACACAATTGACTTGGTAATTCAGCTTGGATTTGGCAAGCAAGGTAGGTAGGTGGCATCTTCATCGAATAATGCTTTTACTGGATTGCTGCATTTTGGATGCTGAGCAACAGGACATCACACGCTGCTTATAATACAACTGAAAGGCTAAAATAGAGTCGCATGAACTCTGGTCTACAACTGACAGCAAATAGCCGCTTTTATCCGAGGCGCCTCAGTGATTGGAATCCACGTATTACGGTGAAAGTCTATCGTAGATTTGCAAATGGTCACAGGTGATAGACAGCTAATACTGTCATCCGGAGAGATGCCACATTCAGACTTCAAACGAATGGTCGCTCTTTGGTCAATGATCGGGTCTTGGTTGGATTAAATCTGCAATTCAAGCTATACTGAGCATATATCGTTTTACCCAACTTGGCTGAAATTCTTGTCGAGTATATCTCAAATTACTCCCTAACCTGTGTATTACGGCTTTTATTAACCCATAAACTGGACAGTGCAAACCTAGTAATGCTCGCAACGCCTGGTTGCACAAAGACACAGTGATGTCATATTGACCAGTGATGGAAAGTCTGTAAGCGAATGGTGCAGCTCGGTGACAGTCTGGGATACTTATGTTCCTCCATACTAATAATTAGCCTTGACCATTTTTACCTTGGAGATTGATAGAAGCCATACCTCTTAAGTTGTTCGATTCTATCTAGTGTGGTAGAACTATTTTCCTCCGAACTACCAACAACTGTATAGTTAGCATCAGCCCCTGAAAAGTCTGGTGTGAGTCGTCGGATGAAGTCAGCCTCCGGTTTTGTGTGTGCTTGGGGTCCCAGCCCGCCTAATGGTGATTCATGTGTAATATTCATGCACCAGCTGAACGCAACTGAAGTTTCGTTCTGTAGATCACGCTCGTTAGCCACTCAAATCCATGTCAGGTTGAAAAAAATTCGCATATTACCAACGCAGAGTAATGAACGGTAGATCGACGGAAGCTTCCTCCACATGCAGACATGGTTACAATCTACCTGATCTAGTGTTTTTTACCCAAGAAAGACCGAAACCTCTCACTCACCATGAAGGTGAGTGAAGGGTTTCTCATGAAGGGCTGACCACGGCTGTCGAAGATAATTAACACTTTGATTGGTGAAATGTTTAGTCTGTGCTGCATTTCATTTAAAACTTTTATTACCGCCCAGGGCGAATAAAATTGAGACCCAACCAAATCTGTCAGAGTGATAAAAATCGAAGATCTGATAGCATTCAATGTAGAATTTCAGTTTTCGAATTATCTACAAAGGACCTAATTTCCTACGGGATCACTGAAGCACGCTAAGAGTGAAGCACTGGAAACGAGTAAGTTTGCTGATGTGTGCCATTTGTAAGGAATACTGTCGTTTGGTGTGTTTGGCTTTGTGGATGGCTACCTGATGCCCCTCCAGTGTGGCGACAAAAATGTCTGGTACCGGTATCAATATTTCGAATTCGAGCGAAGCGATTTTCCGCTAACGAACAAAAACCGCTTGACATAGGCCGGACTAACGAGTAGTTCTTGAGCTCCGACAGACAAGAGTTTTGTGTGCCCTAACTACAGTTTGTAATAAGAGCTGTCATTGATCTTTTGATAAGTCAAATGGATCAACGATATTTTAGAAGTATCGAATACAAATGAGGTGACCAGGCACTCAAAACGGTGCAAAAAGGATGTTTTCTATGGTCTTCAAGTGCCATTGAATGTTCTTTATTTCAGTTCTCTTTATTGACGAGTATATTTAACAGTCAGAGTTGGCAAGTATTGTGATTGGATATATGGCGAACCAACTTGGAGCGTATGCGTGTGACCTAAGACAAATTTTGCGTTAACCCAGTCACTAGCGCACCATTGCGGTGTTCGAACTGAAGGATTCATTTCTTACCATGCACGATATTCCTTCTATACTGCGCGTTAGATGCATTGGTTATATGGAAAGTGGTCCACCAGGACAGAATATTTTACTTTTGAAGTAGTTGACAGAGAGAATTTGATAGTTTAAACATGGTCGTAATGTCATTTACTGTCCATTAGGCTCACTTTGGCCGACGGGAGTGAACAGCTAACCTTCTGCTAAGCAAATCACTCTTTCAGAAGATTCTTGGACTACAACAGTTTACATCAAATCCACTGTTAGCACGGATTTTCATACTGTTTAGTGTATTCACATAATGATCTGTGCGCTGTAGTCAGGGGATTACTGCGGGTTTTCCCGAGTGTACTCCAAATTACGCAACAAAATTCCGATGCCGTTAGACCGTTTATCAAGTCAGATCCCTTATTTTCTTCACCCACTACCCCGGAAATCGATTGTTGCGGAGCAGAACTGCTTCAGTTATCCAAACTTTACAGTGAAAATGGAGCGAAATGAAGACAGTGAATTACCGGATGCTATGCTGTGCAGAGAAAAACGGCAATATATGATACCGCGTTGAGCAGGAGGAAAACCTGAATTAGAAACGAGTATCTGTCGAACTGAACCACTCAAACAGAGAAAACCGGTATACTTCACCTTGTCATTCAAAGTAAGTAAGAAATCATCCCTTAAGGAGAGTCTCTGAAATACAGCTGTCAAACGAACTTACAACTCTGTCCAGTCACTAATGCTCGAAGAAACCAGAAGACAACCCAGCCCCAACCCCAACCTTGTACATCAATTTGAGTGTATCCAGAATTGTAACCAGAATCGAAAAACATACGCCAAAACAACGCAAGAAATCGGAGGCTCATTGTGTGGACTGTGCCATATCCAGATGCATTTTACACATTGTTAACGCACCAACTGCCATTGAAGAAAAGCACAAGCAAAAACTTCACATCGCGGAGGCAGCCTGCTAGTAACTTTGCGCTGGAACAATTCACTTAATCTGGTCACGTGATTTCATTACATGGCTCTTTTATTGCTCTTCCTACGCACTCAGCTTTAGTTTTGGTTCATTATCGATCACCCCATCCCCACTCAAGACCAATTTTTATTCTCGTATTCTTGATTGCAATCATCATGTGTGTTCAGTCATTCACTCACAGAGTTTTGATCAGTTTGGTCAACTCCCCTACGTGACACGACCTACTGAACCTTTGCGAGCCTGCTCTGCTACTTACTCGTCACCTGGTAGAAGTAACTCGTGAGCTCCGATCGAAATTTTCGCGAGCAAGACATCTTGACTTTACCACCCTTAAATTCTCCCTTCTACTTAACACAAACTCCGAGAGCACTGTCGTGGTAAGTTCCTAAATATGGTGGAAAAAGTGAAGTTTGTGTTCCAAATCTAAAGAGTGGTTAACACAAATAGGTAACGGAGATTCCGCATAATCACTCAACTCACCCGTCTCTCCAATAGGTCCGGGAAATCCACGTGGGCCTTTTTCACCCTTAACTCCGTACACATCCCTGCCGGGGAAGCCTTTTTCGCCTTTTCTTCCAGAAATTCCAGGTCGACCTTGTTTACCACGTTTCCCTTCAATTCCCTGTAAACCTGAATAGTGTGAAGGCCAATTCAAAAAGTGAATTTGAAAGTGAACAACATTGTTCTGAGAGGTGTGGAAGGTTACTGGACTTCCATACAGAGCTTTAGTTTCAGCGAACTGCATACAAGCTTTGACTCAACAGCCCTGGTAGTGTGCTCACACATACTTAGTTAGTTTGTATTGTGAATGACGATGGAACAGAGGTGCTTACCCTTCTCGCCTTTCCTTCCGGGCTCTCCGGGGATCACGTTCCCATAGCCAGCTCCTCGCGGCCCCTTAGGACCTGGTTCACCCCGTGAACCAGGCTCACCCTCGAATCCTTTTGGCCCCATTTGACCTTGAACGAAAAATTAGGTAGTATGATGCATTAAGAAAGGCATAAAAATTTATGGACGCACCTTTAAGTTTAGCGAGCTACAGTTCTCCTCTTTGCCGAATTCCTCTCTGTAACAGTTACAAACTCTACCCGTTAACACAATAGTGCAATGGAAATATCATACTGTTTCATTTACATTCGTGTATGCTTTTTTGAAACGAATCTACATAATTCAGACAGCTAAATACTCTATCTCTAAGATTGATCCTATGCGGGAAAGAAAACGGTGTGTGGATTCTTATATCGGGCTGTATTGATTGTATTCTATTACTCAGTATGCCCTAAATATGAGGTTACCGAGCGAAGTAAAAACAATAGACGTTGGTCGCATGAAAGTTGTACCGGCGAACGTAGGTGGAATTCATCATTCGGTATAATATGTCAATAGATCACCACCATTCCAATCAAGGAAAAGAGAATTTCGTTTTTCGCTGAATGGATGTTCTCCAAAATGCCGTCAGACAATTGAGGCTTGAGCTCCCACTCAGACTCGGTTCGAATCTTATTAAACTGATTGATCGCCATATGGTGTACAATATGGATTATAGTGCGCACTATAAAATCTTATTCGACTACGCTGTTTTGATTTTGAAATTTTCGTATAAATTGAGGCTGTCTGACATTTCCCCTTTGATCCTATTACCTTTCTTGGTCATTAAATACTGCACATGCGGAAGTAGTGGCTCTGATCAACAAGTTTCATCAACGTAAGCAGACAGCGAAAATCGTCAGAATGATCCAGAATAAACGAATGTCATGAGAATCACCTTGGCACACTTGATTAGTTACTCAACCCTTCCATTGAGGCCTCCCTGCAAAATTCAAGTTTTGGGGAAAAAATCACCCCCATCAAAATGATCGGAGATATCGAATAACTGGATCTGTTAAAAATGAAAACTCTGCACTCGAATGATTTGGTAGTGCAAACCACAGAACACTTGTGAACTGCCTATGATCGCTAGGCTGAAGTGAGCTGAGGTGAATCGACTCCAGTAGACCGCATCTCACGTCCTTGTTTTTTTCCACCTTACCCTGGTCGTCCCTCTGAGGTAATCACAGTCATTTTAAGGCTCACCCAACCCTAGCTACGATTATTTTCTACCCAGTTTCACACAGCCACTTTAACTTAACACCAACCTCAAACCCCTGTGGACTTAGGTCGGGAAAGCAATTATTCAATCATACACGGATGGACCGGCACAAGCCAGTCCTCCTTCCTATGACTCAGGGCCTCATTCTTCTCGAATACCTGCGGTACATATGTTAACAGAGCAGACCTACCGTGTGAGTCCAGAGGAGTGAGGGTGGAACTGGCGACGGTCTGCCACCGCCCCCAAGTGTGTGTCCGAGAGCAAGAGCTCATCAAAGCTACCTGACTGACTGCGCCGTGGCGAAGTTAGTTGGTAGTCGGGAAAATGATGAATTATCAAGGAGGTCAAATTCCTGAATGTAACCTCAGAACACCCGAAACCTACTGCTGCAACAAAATCTCAACAGGAAAGCCGGAAAGCATCCAGGCCAGTCAATCATTCAGCCAATTCAGCAAAACCTGATGAGTGTTCATGCACGCCACAGAAGCGCGACCGAATGAGATCTGCGTTCAGGCATTTCATAGAGACACGATCGATATTGATGGGTGTTCACTAACGGCTATCAGACAGTCTGGATCAACGTCAGAAAGTTCCCTTTGAATAGCGTGGGACCGTTGTAACTTTTGCTCCCGCACTCGCACGCACTCACGCTATCGCACTAGCTTGTTCGGAATATAACTGTCGTGTGAGTCTGTGAGTCTATTTTCCGGCAATTAGGCACTGGAGCGGATCAGCAGCAGCTACCACAGATTGACGAATCAGCAGATATAACACGAATTATTCCAGGAAACGGAGCAGATGCAGGTGAAAATGACCATACCTTGTTGTCAACTTACCCGGTATTCCAGGGGGACCCGGTTCGCCCGGCTCACCCACAGCACCGTCAGGTCCGGGCACCGGAGGGACATCGGTCGTCTCGCCTTTCTCACCCTGCACGTGTGGGAACAGTGATAATAATCTGTTTGTAGAGTCCTGCATCACATTTACAGTCGTGTTTACCTTCATGTGGTTATTTAAATTGACAGCTATGGATAGTGATATCTGTTTTAAATAAATTTGCACCTAACTCCTGATGGCCAGGAAATCTGTACTGTCAACAATGGAACAAGTTACCTCCATGGTGCGGAAATTCGTTTACAACTGTTTCATGAATTCGAGCGGTTACACCTGTGAGAACTGTTAACTGAAGAGGTTGGGCGAATGAGAAAATGGCATTCTACTTACTTAAAGTGGGATGCCAACATTGTAAACTTTACTTTTTACGGAACTAGACTCCACTATGACGCTTGATTATTACTTCCAGTCAGATGAGCTGTTTTTGCTTTTTAGGGGGTTCTCCCACAGATTCCTTTTCGCTCCGAACTGATTAACTTGTGTAAGGGTAGATTTCATTCTGTTAAACAATATTGGAAGGATATACTAAGTGGCTGTTTCCACCTTCAATAGATGCAAAGTTGACCATATTATAAAAGTTAGGGTAACAACGACAGTATTTCTGGGAGGGGGGAGTGTATTCGTTGTTGTTGTTATTGCTGTAGGAAACCTTCTAAAGAAGAGCTAACATGAAGTGAGGTGGCAATAGACTATGCACAAGTACCAGAAAAAAGGAACATGCCTACTTACCTTTTCACCTTTCGGACCACGTGAGCCCGAATAACCCTTATCTCCAGTCTGTCCTCTGAAACCTGGTGGCCCGATGGGTCCCGGCAAGCCATCTTGTCCCGGTCGACCTGGGACCCCAGGTAGACCTGGTGCGCCAGGCTTTCCAAATTTCCCCTGGAAAATTGACGGAACATAACGATCACTGAGCATACAGCAGATGGGGCAAACAAGAAAGGAAGTTTGTTAGGGATAACCGGCATTTCGTTGGAACACCCGTCACTTTTGCACCAGCAACCAACCACTTTTAGTGCTTTGTTCTTCAAGATTCTTGACCTAAACATTCCAGCTAATCTATTCTGAAGTTGGGTTTTATTTATTTGGTATCTTGAAGGGAGAGTACCGTACGTTTTATAGGTCATGATTAGAGGAGCTTTGGTCCGGAAGAGAAACGAAAATCCCGGTCCATATTAAATTGTATACCGTTAACCCATTAATCGGTAAGGATGGATTATTCACACTCTGTGTGTAGCAGTAGCAACGACGTACGAAACACCGAACTACTCGACATAAGCAACGGTCCGCAGGCGGCTAGTTCACTTCGAAGGTCAACTGAAAGCCAGGTGTGCATTCAGAATTTACACATATGAATGTGTAAGGTGGACTGTTACTTGTAGAGAGCTTTGGTAGACCAGAGTGTATAGGCGATCGTTGGCTTATTCGCTGACATTGTCTCAAGCAAGCTGACCGAGGACGTCACTCTGGATGGTAGTAAAACGTTTGCAACCAATATATCAGTGAACAAACTGACCGTCATGTAAAATAGTTTTCACTCACGGAAATGATCATCAGAGTCCATTTATCTATCGGTTACTGTCACACAATGCTGTTTGGCCACTTCAGGACAAACAGTTAATTTTTCGGTCACTGACCGGAAGGTTGCGGGCTCCAACCAGTTCAAGTTTCGTGAGGTGCTCACTGCTGACGAGGAAGTAGGCATACAGTGCCTCCCACCTTTTCCGCATAGACTGGCTTCACTGACAGGACGAAATCTTACAAGATCTGTTCACACTACGACTACGTCAACCTTTGTCAGAGTACACAGCCAAACGAACGCAGAAATGGGAAAACATAGATCACTGCGTATTCACGTGGGACAAATAAGTTACAACAGGAAGTAATGCCTTGGGAAGTATTCTCAAGTGTCTTAGGTAGGTAATCAATATCTCCGAATTTGAAGCAAACCTTGAAGACATCTGGAGATGCAAACATCTTAAATTAGGGATCGACAGACAGATGCTTTATGTTTATGAGTAGACACAGGTCTTTCTTAGATTCATTTTGTCCAAATATCTCGGTTCGTTTTGACGGAGCAATAATTTTCCATCAGTTCAGTGGAAGTTTAAGGACGGTTTCAGTAAGGATGTTGTTTGGTGGAAAAGATTTTTGGCGTAAGAGGGGCTTTCAAGATACGAATCGATGAATAAATAAACAAATAAACAAGGTGCTTCTACGGACGTGTTAACGGAATAATGCCACAAAGTAAACAACTTACTGTCAGACCAGGATCCCCAATTTCACCGGGCGACCCTATAACACCTTTGAACCCAGATGGTCCCTGTTGAAATGAAATAAATAGGTTAAACTAAGTGATGCAATATCTTAATGGAGCCCACCCACAAAAGTACAAACATTTCAATCCCACAGACCGCATCCGGCATTCAATGTACATTCCTGAAAACGTACTACTTACTGACGGTTCATATTTTAGTCTCACTTGGACAAGATTAGGCTCTGAACTGCGCTGTCTTGATAGACCGCCTGATCATGTGGGTAACAGACACTGTTGTTTGTTTATGCCGGCGGCGGAGATGAGCACACAACCGACAGTGCGATTAGCGTAATATCAATAGTAGCTCGGTATTGAATTCCCATAAACCGTTGAAATGGTTTCATAATGTAGACTGGTACCAACAGTATTCCTTTTCTAATGCTTCCATGTGTTTTCTTGCAAAATTGCTTAAGAGTTGAAGATCATGATGAAAACGAAGGATGCTAAGCACGGTTCCGTAAGGCCAAAAACATCACCAGATGCTGCACGCCTCTGCTTGTGCTACTCATTATTTGTCGTCTCCTATCGGCGAGTCAATGAGTCTTGAGTTGAGTCTTTCCAGTCAGAGCTGCCTAGTACACATGTTCAACCTTGTCTCCGTCACCAGCTGAACTGAAGTGTGTTCACAAAACAGGAGTTGCCTGACGGGCTAACTGTCGAGCTTTGCGGCAGTCCAGACCGTTGTCTGGACATCGTAAATTAGTATATTATACATCAAGGCAATGTATTGATCTTTTGCGTCCAATCGACTTGGAAATTGTTGTGAAACTCTACTGAGTTCTGCTTTCCAAGATGGCAGCCTAATTAGGGACGAGAGGAAATTCGAATTATGGTGGGAGCTCTCAAATTTACCAATGATAATTAACACTCATCAACTTCAAACATTTTTAAGAATCGAGAAATACACTCCTTTGCAAATCAAGTTGGTTTTCACGGAAGACTCAACTGCATCTCTCTTTTATGATATTCTACAACTGAATGTGCTGCACACAGGCCGCCCATGATTCAGTTGGCACGATATTCGAGATATCACAGTATACTTTCATGAAGGAAACTACTCATAAGGTTGTTGAAAACTCGTCCCATACACCTAAAGTTCTTAGATTCCGACTTATTTGTGGTATAGGTTAATGTGTTTGCTAACGGAACATGAGGTAACGATATTCGCTGCTTTTCTTGATTTGGATCGACCCAGTTCCAGGAAGTGAGTGCTACACGAACTCAAAAATTCTAGGGATGGTCATTTGATGCAGTCACTCTTGTCCACCCGTCTGAACAGGCAATGACTTACCTGTCTGCCTTTAACGCCTGGGTCACCTATCGGTCCTGGTAATCCCACTGGGCCTGGTTGGCCTTTCATTCCAATACTAGGAAAAGAGACGAAGAAACGCAGTCAGAAAACCAAATGGAACGAAATGCGGCCACTTTTCGTGTGTATAATTGTGCTAACGTAAATGCTTTGTAAGACGGGGATCTACCGTGAGAGGATATGGATGAAAGGCCTTCCGTGGCGCCTCATAAGTAAATTTAATCTACAGAAGACGTCTTACCACGTTTCGATACGAATCACTTTAGGTAATAACAGTTTACGCCAAACAAGATCTAAAACCACGAAGCCATCGTAATACATGATGAGCTTACACTCGTCCCTTGATCAAAGTTGAGTCATCGTAAGAGGTGCCTTTTTCACCCTTGTCCCCTTTCAGTCCTTGTTCCGCCTGAAAGAATGGAGAGAATGAGAAAAGATGCTGAAAAGGTGGTACTTTCTCACACACTTCGAATATATTTTGAATGAAAGGGAAGACATTCAATATTTCTAAGGCTACCTACCGCATTTCGGTTGACGAAACTGTTATCCGCAGAATCCACAGTATGCGTTACTCAGTAAATTTGTGAGTAGACTTATGGAAGCCATATGAAAGGATATTTCAGTACGTGAATTCTATTGGCTGCATAAAGTTAATTCTGTATGACAGCTGCACTCCGGACATGGTAAATGCAAAAGGTTCCCAGCAAAAAATCTGTTGGTTATTTTTCAAACGTTTTATCAAAAAAGTCTTCAGCATCAGGCGGGAAAGTGCAAAACAGGAATATGCTTGAGGAAATCAAGCCAGCACAAGGTCAGCAAATGTTTGACGAGCATTGAAATTAACATGTCCAAGGAGAAGTATGAAGTCATTGACTGGGAGGACCCAGAAATTTATCCAACACAACGCTGTCACAGAGACAGACAGGCATTAGCCTGCGTCATTAGCCGCAAGAAAATGTTGCGGTTAAATACCGTGTTTTGCACGGTTTACAACTGTTCGGCCATGACAGTTCTCATTTTAAGTTGCCATCTCATGGTCTGTATTCCAACAGACTTCTCACTAGCGAAGGGTTAGAATTGAAGATAATACCTTCTTTTGTATGCGGTGGCTAGACATGCGCAGTACACACTAACAACCTTAGCCCGGTATGTATTCTTTGTTGCCTCAGTGATTCTGATCCATGACTTATGCACCATTTTAGTACAGCCACACTACTAAAATCTGCAATTCTAAGAAGACGCCGGCAATTAGCTACTTGACGGCTCAATACAAGTAGTCAGTCTTTCGTGCTACGCAGAGTACAGATTCTGGACAGGTGGGTATAGCCAGTGATTTTGGAGCTACTTAGACCTGAAACGGAGGTTGCACTTTTGCGACGCAGTCTGGGTGATCATGGAAGGTACTGCGACTACTTATTACCAATCAATATCGATTTTATTTTATCAGTTCGCTTGTATCAGTACAAAACGGTGTGAGAATGAAAGTTCCGATGACGCTGTTGAAGAAAAGACTATCAAAACAAGCGAGAAACCATAAACAAAGTTGAAAAGCTATTCGGGTTACCAGGTAACTAAAGCGAATGTTGGACAGTGGTTCTACTACGTCTGCACAAGCAGACAAAGGCAGGTGAATACTGGTGATTATTTCGTTTAAAAAAAAGAATTCTAGAGGGTCTTACAATTTTTGTACAGTTTTTCCACGTTCTAGTTCACAAGCGTTGGCTTATGTATGTTATCTGCTTAAGAAATCATATTCTCCCTGAGGGACCATTTAGCTCACAGTGCATCTTTTCGCAGTTCCACCTAGCTGGACAACTAGTTTAAGAACACGTTTCAGGGAGACAGAATACACCCATCCATTTTATAGAGTACTACCCCTGATCGATAGAATCGGGTTTCTTTCGTCTTGAATGTCACCGTTTGAAGGTTTTAGCACAATCGTCACAAAAATATGGGTATGTGATACACGTGACTGATAAGACGCCTTCAGACAAACCTTTCTGACACGATGACTCCCAGTCGGTATAGAATCGGGTTTCTTTCGTCTTGAATGTCACCGTTTGAAGGTTTTAGCACAATCGTCACAAAAATATGGGTATGTGATACACGTGACTGATAAGACGCCTTCAGACAAACCTTTCTGACACGATGACTACCCAGTCGGTCCCAAACACTTTCAAATAAGACGCTCCGTGTATTCATTGAGTTACGTTACGTCACGCCCTGTCCATGATATTAGCAAAACCCGAGACACTCAGCCAGCAAGTTTAGCCCGAACGGGATTTCTGGCTGAGGATGGGGTGCGTGAGCACGTTTGCACGAACTTACTTCTCACCCTCAGACCAGCGTAATGACAAACCACCCGGTCGACTGGCAGTTTGAATGGTTATGGCGGTGCCGGTTCTAATACTGTTGCTGATGATAGTCCGATGACCGGGTTTACCGCAGTAAATTTACTGCGTTCTCGACTTGATGGAGCAAAAGTGGTGAACCTGTGCATTTACTTGGAGCGATAGGTGTGATTGGGTTTATTCGAAATCAACCTGGATGGCACAGGCTGGCGGCGAACAAGTGATATAAAGTTGTTTGAGTCGCAATCGTTCAACATGTGGAACGATTCAGCAAATTGTGGTTTCTGAAACGAATGCCATGGTGACAAGTCTGTCTGAAACTGTACACATTAAGTTCAAATTAGACTCACAAGTGCCAGTTGCCTGAGTTCCATGAATATCCAGAACACCTACACAAATCTGGGGTCATTCTATGGGACAAAACCTGAGACCGTTAAGAGCGTTCACTGTACATAGTGGATTTCACCACTGCATGTCAATCAATGCAGACGATTGTCGGTTGTGTGTCTAAGATAATGGAAAAGACTAGACATGGAGGGTAAATTATGATTACTCCTTCTGAGGGGGGACTGGCTCTGAGGGGGAGGATTCCCTAAAAGTAACCGCTTTTGACTGGTCCGGAGAGACAACTCCTCATTGCTGTACTCAAGAATCAGCTTTTCAATAAGCCAAAAAATCATCACATGACTTGTTTGACGCACAACCAAGTCTGAGTAACCCAAGCAATGATGAGCGGTCGAATTTGTCCCAGAGTAACAGGTCACCATTGAACAAAGCGGATCGGAAAAGTACAAATAAGTGCCAATTTTACCTCTACACAGCAAAGGGTTGAAGGGTATTTAGTTGGTTGGGATAAAGCTTCAAGCCTAATTTTTTGTAACACGCCCACAGAATTTCGTTCCTTTCTGTTACCATCCCCAACCGTGAGGGAGGACCCTTAAAGGTGTACCAACACGACTGGTTGCCATCACATTTGACCGCATTTGAAGTTCGATTCCTGCCAGTTCCCGTTTGTTTTCACACAATGAGTACGGGAAAAGTTACTGCTCTGTTCGCACCAAAGTAATTTTCCATCGCAACACTGATGCTACTTTGATTTGATTTACTTAGAACGATGTTGCAATTTCAACGGCATCGGAAGTCCGTCAATAAACCCTTCGATGATGTGGTGAAATTTCTTCATTTTCATTAACGATGTTCTTTCAAGGAGCCCTTCAAGGCGCAACGCACAATCAGCTTATTAGAAATAGGAACATCTTAGTTACTATCACATTTCTGTGACAGCGACGTATAACCACACATCGATCGTTTCGTAATGAATGGACCAAGCAGTCCAGCACTTTTAGAGTCGCTCTTACCAGCTTATTGTGGTTATGATCGGCAGTAATATCTATCGCTACTGTACCAGCAACCGTGACAGATATATGCGTTCATCCGCTGTTGTCACCATTCCCTTTCTACGTTAGAGATGTGTGATGTTCATGACCCGACGTAGGGCTCAGGGGCTCGTCAGTAGCCATAGTAGCCATGCCACTGAACTGATAAAAGGGAGGCTTTAGAGACGGATACTGGACATTACGGGGAAAGGTTGCAAGCGGACAGATCAGTATCTCATCTACAAGAGATGGGAACGTGGAAGAATTACGTAAGCGCCTTTGCATCAGTGAATCTACTGCCGACTGCCTCTTTATTCCGGTCAATATACCAAGCACACTCAGTCAGTACATTAAGGCCGTTCTGAACGGCAGTGTTTGTGCTTGACATCTGGCTACAATATATTCTTCGATGATAAGGTGCAGTTGGATGGAACGACGTGAAAGTGCACTGTAATCTGGGGTTGCACGATCGATCACACCATGTGGGTAACCAGTAGTGGTATGTTTAAGGCCGGACAATTTAGACGCGTCTTATTTGAGGTCACGTTAGTTTTTCAGTGAAATGGTCAAATGATCAGACGTTTGAAGCCCCAGGAGAAGTTGCAGCCTGATTCCATGTGCGCGACAACATTGAACGAACAATGTGCATTTTTTGACGGTTCTATGCGAGGTCCAAAAGTCAAAGGTCCAAGTAATGCTTCTGGCTGTCACTGAAATTTCCTAATTTTCAGTAGGTGTTTACACCCGAAATGAGGTTAGGATGCATAAAACATCATTCGTCTAGCTACACGCAGCTGCCCTTCTTGGAACATTAAATAAAGTGGATAGTATTGACCAAATGATTCTTACAAATTTCTAGACGGTCTTGGCATTAGCTGGCCAAACGGTGTTAGTTTACCCAAGCAACCATTTAGTTCCTCGTCAGACTAATACGTGAATGCAAGGACAGAAAAATGATTGCAACTGTGTTAGAACTTCTAAGTCGTTAGAGGAGTTTTTATGGTTTGACTGCCTCTTAGATTGAGAAAAATCTACTTGCTTGTGTTCTTCGACCCACCGGCTTCAGCTAGACGTGGTCACTGATCACAGTATCATACGTGTACATCTGGTGAAAAAAAAGATTTTGTTTCCCTTACAACACTCCGGATTTTAGTGTCTCTTGTTGGAAAACCATCAGGTCAAGGAACACTTACGTATGGAAGAATAATTGGTGGAGGAGTGTAACCTTTTGGTCCCTTGGGCCCAGGATCTCCACGTTCACCTTTTTGACCCTGCACAGAGAAAGAAATGAGCACTTTTAGTTCGAAATTAACAACGAAGTTTGTTCTGTGGTGGACACTGTGGAGGCGATTGTGTACTGAATTCAGCTGCTATTACTAGTTCTACTTACATCCATCCTTATGTTTTCGATGAGCTCAGTCGGTCGGAAAACTGTATCGAGTTATGAACACATACAGTACAACGAATGTAGGGGAGGAATATTGACAGTTTAGACCGAGACAAGCAGCTAATGAGCGTGAAGTTCCACATTACTTTACTGGCTCTGAGCAACTCATAGTCGGCACCAATGAAGTGGTGCCACCAATACTAAATGCAAATCACATGTAATATTTTTGTTATTAGAAATGAGATTTCTTCAAAGTGACATGAAGTGTACCGTTACTTATGGGCGCCTGTAGAACCCGGATGTCGTTTTGTTTAGTTACTACTTATAACACTCACTTTGAATCCAGGTTCTCCAGGAAACCCCATATCTCCCTTCTCTCCCGGTGTTCCTGGGTAGCCTCTGCCTCCTGGAGGTCCCCTCTCTCCTTTCGGTCCACCCGTACCATCCAAACCAGGAGCCAGTGGTACAGCTGGCTCTCCCTTTTCACCCTGTAACACCAGCAAAGCAAAGTATGTGTGATGTAGTGAGTTGTCAAAAAAGGTATGTATTAACCTTACATCTTTGTATCAACGACGGCAGCATCGGCGTTTTTACTTGGAAAATATAAGTTACCAACGAAGTTTCGGAGGACAGAACTCATCAGAATTTTTTGAGGATTTCTGGGCTAATTGTTGCGAAATAAACTAAGTGAACAGATGCCGAAGATATATGCAGACCACCAGAAGCATTTAAATATAATATAGCCATTTTATTCTCCTTAATCAGTGGAAGAAAAGAAAAGTTGTTATGCTTGAGCAAGTTTTCACTCTTGAAGAAAGTCAGATCACTTACTTGCGGTCCCATAAGACTTTGTTTGTCAACATCCTCAGTTGTCTCTCTCTTCTGTCTTTTGTGTAGGTTAGCAGTAGTTAAAAGTGTTTTATGATGTTACTTTTACGTGAACATCACTTACTAAACAGCTCCCATTCAACCCATTTAGCTGCGCACTGACGATGTCTCCTCCACTGGGGACAAAACGTTTGCAAGCCAGTTACCAAGCTCGGCGAACAGAGCAACTGCCGTCTGATCAACTACCAGTAAACACCCGAGCAACCTATATATCGACAAACTGGCAAAATGTTTGCCTAATCGCGAGTAATTCAGAAGAGCCGTCATTTAGCACCAACCCAGTTTTGCTCTCATGGAACCTAGGAGCGTTTGGCTCACCACAGTTCCACCTATCAGTGGACAGTGCTTAGTATAGACTGATCTGCTGAGCTTTTTCACATGAATAATGTACCGTCTAGCGTGGCCGGAACAGATCCATTGGCTGGATTCACGCAACAGTGCACACAACATTGTTCAGCAACCAGACGAACTCGGTAAAACGAACGAGTAAGTTTGGGAGAGCCGTTTGGTTCCATGCAATAGCAGAATGTCTCCTAAGAGCTGATTTTATTACTTGGTTTACGGCGAGTTGTTGCATTACACTACTGTCAGACTACAGTTCAGGCCTAAATGTAAGGAACACAGATATGATATGACGCTAATTATGAATGATATTTGGTCGTTACGTAATGGCATTTTGGTGACCGTTGTAATATGGATGTTGTCGACAAAATGGAGCAGAAAATGCCCTCTCAATTTGTAAGTCACAGGATCTACTCTGTGAAACTGAGTGATCGCTCGGTTCAAACTAATCAGGGTTAAAGGGAAAAGGGAAATCAACAAACCAGATCTGCTAAAATAGTGATTCATATGTCATTCTCCTTTTGTGTTTCTGTAGCCCATATGGCTTTTGTCAGTCAAACTGTCTGCTCAAGCTTATAAACGCATCAGATATAAGCACTTATCAGGCTAACTTCCAGTCACGTTCAACTCGATACGATAAAAAATAGGATATTAGGGCCTACATATAAGCATAATTCAGTATACCTCTCCGAGTCTCTAAGGATGGTGACATAGTATGTACCTGAAGAAGTTTGAAGATTCTTACAGGATTATTTGGTCAGGACAAATACCACTCCAAGGTCTTAGTAAGAGGGGACTATCTGTAAGTAGCTGCCAGTTCACACACATTAGATTCACAGCAGAATAATGATCTAGGACAAATTATGCCAGCGGCCTCGTAGAATCATCATGGCTTTATCTCCTACCAAGAGACTGATCACCCTCTTGAAAAAAAACACCGGGTAAGAATAAAATAAATAGAATGATACTCTGTGACGTGAAGCCAGTAGGTGAGAAAATTGTGCACGGTTCAACTCTCCCAAATAACTCTGTCAAATTCATCGAAATCTGCGTGAAGGCAAAACATCAATAAATATATGCAGGTCCATTTTCCGGTTTTCTTTGGGACAACTATTTGTTGGTTGTATTTACTGACCAAGCATGTTTACCCCTGTCTGCTTTTCTGTCCACTTGTTGGTTGAAAGAATAACGTTACTTCCGATTTGGAATTCTTATGACATCACTCACGTGTATAACTGAATCTTCAAATTGACAAAAACTCCTCCTACGCTTCATCCGCGAGTTCGATTTCGGATGGAAAACAGTGGAACGTCAAAAGATTCTACTCAGTACTGATTAATAGATTATTCTGTGCATCGTACTATGGTGGATTCATGGCAACTCTCATTCGTAACGCAGCGAGTTTGACATTTCATAGTGTATTTTTCCGGTATGAAAATCTGAGTTCGAGAAGTGGTATCTTTGATACACATCAGAAAAAGATTTCTATTTGGGATTCGTACGCTTTAAACTATGCTAGCTTGCCTAGAGGAAATTTTGAAAGCAAGACAGTGAAGTAGAATTACCCTATGTTCACTTACCTTTGGACCTGGAAGACCTTTTTCTCCCATCTCGCCATCATATCCATAGCTTCCTGGTAACCCTTTTAGCCCTTTCGGACCCTACATTTTTTTAAAAAAAGAGAATGATAATGTAGTTTAGTATTTGTCATTAGTAATCAAAAATTCATTCCACAGAGGGTTTGGTTACATAGTGTAAGAATTGGTCACACTTACTTTCACCTTCTAGTAGTCAAACGTCACGCCAGTTTGGTACCTTTAACTTTGTCAGCAAGATAAGACTAGGATACTGTAGGACGGTGCACGAGTAAGGTGTCGACGAGCAATTTTTTATAAACCACGCCACTCATGATTATGCTGAAAACTCTTCGGCAACACTTGTCTCGTGAATCCTGACAGTGACTTGGGTTCGGAATCCCCAAGTATTAGCTGAGAACCATGTTCCAGCTAGGAATGTTTGAACGGATGCTTGTTGTACTCGCATTCAAAAAAACGCAGAGCCACTAGCCTTTCAACTGTGCACTTCATACTACCCTATCTAACGCTGACCACTTGTCGTATGACAGCTTGTTGGGTGTTAAGCATACCCCCCACAGGCTACTTACATTTTGTAAGTAGTTTGGATAATTTGAAGGTACAGTTGCGCTCACTGTCCTGCGAGGCAGTCAACTTATCCCAAAAAGACGAGGTGAGCTGCAAACTTTTTACTGTAATCGAAATATATTTACACCACCTTGGAATACACGAAGTAGCATAAAGTAACTTCTAGCTGTATTACAACCTTACTGTAACTTTAAGGCCAACGTTACCTTGCAAAGACAATAATAGCACAGGTTTTCAAAGCTACCTCGCACATTAAATAGGCTACTGATGCTGTAGCAAATTCGAGTAGAATAAGGCTTTTCGATATGTTGAGCGCCTGATTTAATGCAAGATATCCATCAGAACTACTCCTACTCCCCATTAAATTCAATCAGGTTCCACGAAAACAACCTGATAAATCTGGTTACTATCGACTGTGAAAGCTGGGTTAAATGCACACTTGTTCCCACGACAAGGAATTATTTTCATCAGCATGAAACCGCCCTAAGCAGATCTGATCCTGTTGGAAGTTTAAGCCTGGAGTTAAAATCACTAAGTGCGACCTTCCTCAAGGGGGGATCACTGGGTGTATGTGTTATCAAAACACACAGTTAACAGTAGCAGTGCGGAAGTGGTCTGATATAGCTTGCTGTGTTCACTACCTTCACTTCGAACTAACAACGCTTAGTACATAAACCTCATCCCCGTCTTAGGTTTATATATATAAATATATATATAGGTTTATATATATATATATATATATATGTATATGTATATATATATATATGCAATCATTCATGTGGCAATTGTTTGTAACTCACTCAAAAACTAGCAAAGTGGGACTTTAAACATCACATGGGAACCCATTAGAAGTCGTCTCATGTGATTCAGGCGCATTCCTAATACACATTTTAGAGATGGACAACTGATCGGATTTTGCAAGGGTGCTTAAAAAACGCAAAATCCTACATCATTCACCACAATGAACTACTACACAAATTATATTTTCTTCGACTACTGGTATAAAAACTCTCATTATCCATTGACTGTCGTACCTTAGCTCCACAGCATCCCTCTTCACCGGGATAGCCCTTTGGACCTTTGATGCCAGGTGCCCCCTAAAACATAAGGATAGCAAAATAAAACAGTGAGTTCCGCATAAGATTTTTATCAGGATGGGGAATGAGTTCACATAGCTGTATCCGGGTGAAATATTTCCAATGACTTCAATATCTTCCAACTCATAGGCATAGTGAAATCTCCTGGTGGAAAGAAGAATATGGGGCCCCATCGATGGTAAGACATGAAAGCACTATCCATTGTAACATGGCTGACTCGTGCAAGAATCCATGGAACAGACGGATACGGACAATTGGATGGTTCAACTCGTAAGATCGAAAATACACCTGGAAATCTGTACGATGAGTCCGGATTTGGGAGAGAACAGCCTTCGTGGACGACCTGAGGACCAACCTGAAAATGCCTACGATTTGCGTAACGAAATTGCATTCCTCATCTCCTTAACAGACCTAGGGAATGTTTTTTACGCTACTGATAAACGCAAGTAGTCATAAAACAGAATGAAATTGCGACTTTGCAGGCCACTTGATAAAATTTCCCAACTAAGCTGAAATCGATCACCACAGAAGTAGGTTCCTTCGTTTAAAACTATAAATACTATCGCGCTGATAGTACAGTGAGTTTGGTGAGTCTCCTGTAGAAGATGGATACGCAAATGACTGAGGATTTGTTGTGCTGTTAAATATCAAGAGGCTCTGTTAAGTGAGGTTTGCATTAGTTTTGTGCAGCGTTTCAGAACGCCTACTAGTAGTAAGAAGTACGTTTTTCATCTAAAAAAACAGCTGTTGTCGGAACTGAAATTTTCAACTGACCCATGTATCATATATGGTGGTCAATTAGCATACCTTGAGGCCATCGACTCCCGGAACTCCAGGGACGCCCTTGTCACCCTGTGTGTAAGAGGGAAAGGTAGAGAAAATAATGTGTGGAATTTTAAGCCAATATCCACTGACTGTTCTGTATACTGCAATCGATTTTCGGCTAAATTCCACAAATGAAATGTAAGTAGGCTGAACACTGTTGTTTTTACTAATGAAGGAGACCCAAGCCAAAGTGTTCTAGTCTAAGCCTCCTCGAAACAAATCAAGTTCATCGGTTATGGCAACCTACACCACATTTCGGGGAATTTATCACTCGTACTCTCGAGTTAAGTGAAAACAGACTAAAGCACAGTATACCTGGTCACTCTTCAGTTTTCTCGATTTTTTATTAGTCATCTACTGTGGCGTGGATATTGCCGCTGATTCGAAACACAAACCGGCTAGTTCACCAACTTTATTCCGCCATTACGTCATCTCGAGTTGATTTAATTTATACCATAGTTTAGGATAACCGGTTTTCAGGAACAACTTGGAGTTCCACTCGGAAGGTATATATACGAATTTATGTTCTGCTCGTGTCATGCCGATAACTCTTGCTTCATTACGTCGAAAGCATCCACTGTTTTAGCACCTGCCGACCTCCAGTGAGCTGAGCTCATTGTGTGTCGGACTTTTAACCGTTGAACTTTTGACTTTACAGAATGTTGGCTATCATTGAGCGTAGTCATCAGTGCTCCTCATTAAAGATGTCGCTTACACGGATAACAGTAGGGCTTTTCTGGACGGCACTGCAACTTGCGTTTGGGAAGTGTGGGTTGCACCCCATCCTACTGAATCATAAAAAAATACACTAGTAAATAAAAAACAATCGTTGCTTTCTTACCTTACAGACTACACAATACGTGGATTTTACGTGACTGGCGACTGTAGTAAATGTGAAGTTTAGTCCAGTGAACTACTATATCTCTATGGACAGGTTAATATATTCAAAATTTTGATAGATTGTGACCTAATAAAGGTTTTATGGAGGCCAGCAGAACTGAAAAAACCGTGCTGGTATATAGATACCGAAAAGTCATGGTGTACAAGCATTTCACAACTTACTGAAATTCCCTTCGGACCAGGATCACCCGGAATCCCAGGAATACCGCGAATACCGTCCGGTCCTCTTAGCCCAGGAGGACCACGTGGACCAACAGGGCCCGGTCGTCCAGCGTGGCCACGAACACCCATATCACCCTGAAATATCGTGCACAATTTTCTGTTCAATAATTCGGTTTGACACAGAAGCAGAAAAGCGCGAGTTTGAACTTCCTGAGTCCCGGCTGTCCGGGGAACTTGAAAACTTATTAAAAGCGGCTATCCAAAAAATGTGCCTGATTCATTATTAAATGAATGACTCCAACTATTCTGTCTCTCTCCCTCTAGAATGGTCTCGGACCATTCAAAGTGCTGTGCAACCTTAGTTGCAAGAACGTGACAAACATATACCGAAAACATCAATCCTACGTGGTTTCTGAGACTAAAACAAACTACGCCCCATTGTTCTTTTCAGGCTTTTCGGAACATTGTTCAGACTGTTTATTAAATGAATGACTCCAACTATTCTGTCTCTCTCCCTCTAGAATGGTCTCGGACCATTCAAAGTGCTGTGCAACCTTAGTTGCAAGAACGTGACAAACATACACCGAAAACATCAATCCTACGTGGTTTCTGAGACTAAAACAAACTACGCCCCATTGTTCTTTTCAGGCTTTTCGGAACATTGTGTCAGACTGTTCGACTTGACTGATATGGGATTCTTATTCTCACTCTTGCCTTCAAGCTAACTGTTCCATTAAGGCATCCGCTGTGCTGCTCCGAACGGCGCTCACTGGCGCTTCAGCCTATTGACTTTCAGCAGTAAAATCGCTGCCCATATTTCTGTGCTAACTAACTACTATTCAAACAAACGTTTCGTCATGTGAAACATTGTAAACCTGTACGGAAGAACCACACATACTTCTGAATACCTCGGTGTCTGTGGGTGTTTGAGCTTGCCATTTTCTGCACCTGAAGAGATACGGTGAATGCATCCTGATCAAGATGAAACAATTCATTATTGGATGCTTTCTTCCAACATAGTGCACAGCTGATTTTGCATTCCTGTGTTCAGTTATAGTCAACGAAGTAATGATCAGCTACACAGTTTACCCGTAGTACATTGCGAGTAATAGTATTTCGTGTTGAACATCACCATTCTTATTCAAGTGACGATTACTAAGTGGAACAAAGTGCACGATACTTGAGAGTGCCGTTATTCAGCCTCTATCTTTTTATCACGCAAACCGATGCCCTAACTCCCGCTGACAGTTTTTCAAGCTGGCCTGGATTTGATTTTTTTTTCGTGATCAAAGAAAGTAGTGGACGGTTTTTTACTCCCTGGTGTGTCACACTTACTCTTCTACATCTAATGCATATCACTTCGGGCATAGTCGGCAGCATGCCAAAAGTCGATGATCAATGATAGAACGCTTCGACAAACAGACAGCTTTTCGAATAGTTTCGGCGCATTTAATGTTGTACCTACTTTCCACCGTACTTGCATTTCATAGCGGGATACCCCCCCCCCGCTACCGAAGCGGTGGAGAAAAGTAAAAACATAAAAGTGAAGGTGCACAGGTTCATTAGCATAAACAGTCGCCACTGTTTTTTGTCGTTTATAACCATGCGACACAGGCCTTTTCTATCACCAGAAGTAAACTGACACTGAAAGCTGTCTTCTTTTGCATAGAAGACAGATTTGGAGGTTACTAAATAAAGGCCGTGGAAAGGGCGTCCAATTATGAGGATACCGCAGCACTTGTAGTTAGTTAAGCGTGAAAAATGCTTAGCCAGTATGATGGACAGCCTGGTATGTGTCAAGCTGAGGTACCATTTTTTTGTTTCGGTGTTTGATTAATGAAATCATCCGTCTGATGGTCATTAGGAAACTGACTGAATCTGTCGTGACAGCTCAGTGTGAAAAATATAATTATTCGGAATCAGTATTCATAGTCATAATCTTTTCATCAAAACGGATCCTACTGTTCTCTTTTCTGAGCAAGGAAGCCCCAATTAGTAACTAGTATCCCCCTACTGTTCTGTGTAGTAGATTTGTCATTTTCTTCCTGACAAAGTCCTCAATGTCCCTTTGTGTTTTAATTTAGCTGTGATTTGCATAGAAAAGGTGTCTTCATTATCTTAAAGTGATAAAGCTTCGTCTATGAAATCAATACTATAGGATAAGTCAATGGAAAGCCCTGAAGAAAACTCAGCAGTGACTTGTGATCAAGGGAATGCAGTGGAACATTCAGTCGTTCATAAAGGAAAACTCTTCGACAACCTTGTGAGTAGTTTCCTTTACGAAAATATACTGCGATGTCTCGAATATCGTGCCAACCGAAACATGAGGCAGTCTGTGTGCAGCACTTTCAGTTGTAGAATATCATAAACGAGAGATCAGTTGAGTCTCTCGTGAAAGCTAAATTGGTTTGCAAAGAGTGTATTTCTCGAATTCAGTCGTTCACCTAAATGAGGTCCTCATCTGTAGGGGTAGACAGAAAGTGGCAACTTCTAGTGATGTTCTTCCCATAAAGGATTAAGTCTGAACTTCACGCTTAATAACTACGTAATAGGCTTGATGGTTGTAAGTGACTCAGAATGGATTTTGGAAATGCAAAGTTATGGAGCATCGACGAATCCAAAGATTATGCACAAATCAAACCTCCTTAGGCAGAAAACATTCAACAAACCGGTGCTGACTCACCCGTGGTCCAGGAAGACCAGTACATGTGCATTCCGTACAGTTTGGTGAAGGGATACAGGTCTATTGGCAAACATCGAAGATATTTGCCAAAGCCATGATTTCGTCGAAATATGAAAAATAAACGGTGGAGAAGAATGAATGAATGAATCACTCGAACCGAAGATTCCAGAAGATGAATAGGATTTGACGAGGAATAGCAGCAACAAGTTGGACTTACAACCGCGGTTTGTGTGACTGGAATCAGCACGGACATCAGAACCCATAGCAGTAGAATTGCAAAACTGACCATACTGGTCCGCGATACTCTACTGGATTTGTGTGGTTTCATGATTCATCTGACGGACGACTGGAAGTAGGTTGTCTGATCGGATAATAATGATAGTGAACACAAAGTCTGATGGTAGGCGATGCGATCAATTAATATAACAGGTATCTCTGATATGCCGGCTTTGTCTGAGTTGCCACGACTTATGACCAGGCCACGCTTTCCCTGATCGATCCAGTCATTCAAGTATGGAGGCAGTCTTACACCCCGTTCTGGTTGCGTGTGTTGTTAGTTGCCCCGTACGATAAGATTGGTTGGCTGTATTGCCAGTCAATCCGTTGGTCTGTGCTGCACCCGGCGGGTTGTTTCCTTGTGTGTATGGGTGCCTCTAGGGAGAAATCATGGGATAACACAGGCTGAACACGCTCGAACCAAACGCCTGCATACGATTACGGCATGTGTCTATGTGTGCCACTTGGGTGTGTGCGTGTGTGTGTGCGTGTGTGTGTGCGTGTACCCACACTGTACCGGCAGGCTGGACAAGCCGGCACTGGCAGCGGTAAACTTTACGGAACCACCTGAAATCTTGCTAACCCCTAATTATCCGATTTCGTCCTCGTTCGAGTATGCGAATGAGCTGCCAAGCATGCTGCATCTCACGCGTATCCACTGGCGAAAAACCCTATGAGCATCGTGTGTATGTGGACAAATACGACCGGTCTGTTTCTGTCGTCTAGATGCCGCTGAACGCGTTGCCGGCCGGTCTATGGGCCAATAGGCGTGAAGCTGGAACGGCGCTCCCAACTGCACACAGTTATACGCCTGTGTTGCTAGTCGACCAAGGATTCATCAGCACAGTGTATACCCATACCAACGCGAATTCAGATCAGATGTTCGTGTGTGCACCACATCACATGCATGGATACATCTTACAATATCTTCTTTGGCGCGCGCAAAACGACTCCGAAATTTAATACCTGATTGCTTTTTATGGACAAGGTAAATATCACCGGTAGGCTACATGTTGCCCCACTAAAAACTAATCACGTTAAACAACCCAAGAATTCAGCTGTTTGGTCGAAAAAATGATATCTGTTCCGAATACCACTAATAAGGTTTATGACATGCCATGCATGCACGCGTACATACAGAAAGACCATAACAGGCAGATGAGACTCTGAGGGGAATATTTCTCATCTTCCTGTGATTTTTTAAGCATGCTATTGAAGCTGGAATGTTTGATGCTTCAGTTGTTTCTCTGAAATTTGGCTAGTCCAGAACAGTAGAGCGGATGCCCCTAAATATAAGGCTACCTGTAACGATGATTGAATCCCTGGACAATCCAGTACTGCGAAAACCTTTTTCGGGTCCATGACTTCTGATAAGCCCTCCAGTCACAATACCTAATTCAATATCAAAATTAACCCACACAGAGATAAACAACACAGTATAAACTGACTTTAACTGGAGACTCAAAAAATCCCACTTGAATTTCTCGTTTATCATATTGTTATCATAGCTGTCACACTATTCAAAATATGTTGGTATTGTGAATAGATTTTTGCGTCTTCGAGTGGAGATTTCGTCTGAGAAGTCTATCAGCTTTTCAGCATAGATCGGTTTTACTCACAGGACGAAATATTCATTATACATTTCAGCAGATGGAAGTAGTTTCTTTGATGTGACACTAGTCTTGAGGTCGATGAAAATTCTTCGCGAGGACCAAGCCTCTCTGGTGGACTTGCAAAATGGTGCGGTGGCGTGGCGTCACATGCGAAGCTCCACTCCTGATAACTATCATGCGCGATAGTGGATGAAGCAGGTGGGACAGGCAAGGTCTTTGTAAACCAGATGAAGATGCTATCACTATGAAGTATGTGGATGGGATTGCAGAAAGAGGCAAAAACGGTTTTATATGGGATAATTGGCCGATCCACTCAGAATGTGTAGTGCTGTCAGTCTGAACATAAGTTAACTGAAAGTGCCTGTTGTAAGTGGACGTTTTGGAGCACAAGACAGTGTTTACATTACAACCCTCTGTTTAGGGATCATCCTTGAGAATATAAAAACTGGTCTATCTTGGTGGGAAGAACAGATCTCTTCGTGATATGGGCACTTACTCGCTTTGTTGGGCACAGTTTCATAAACAATATGCTGTTCGTGCGTACTTTAAGGAGTATTTTGGTCTATCTAAAAAAAATAAAAGAAACGAATCAACTTTTCTGCATGTATTGCACTTCTCTGAAGTCATTAACCAGAAAACATTGGTCATCGTACTTTTGGCAGCGACACGTTCAAGAGCACAGGTAAATTTGTGGTATCTATGCGTTTTATCCACTTAACACGAAACTGTAAGACGTCTGCTACAACAGTCGAAATCAAACGGTCAGCTTGCCAATAGGAATTCGATCATGGTTTTGCCTGAACTTCCAAATGTGTTCGTTCATGTTGATGTTCAAAACCCGCGTTTTGGCCTGTTTTCAAAGCAGCTAATATGGTCTTAGTTGATTACTTTTTTTACACCGGAGTAATAAGCACCTTGTTTCTGGCTGAAACAGAAACTCGGTTTACTCGCAAGTTTCTAGGGGAATTACCAACCACGCGTACTTTACCGCCAAATCCTTGGCGGTTCAAACCCTACGGGTAGACAGAGAAGTGTGCAAATTGTTTTATTTGTCCCGCGAGTTTTTCTGTTTTCTAAAACAAGCAAGTCAAACTGGAGTGTAACGGGAAGACCAGAATAACTGGGCGTCCATTCCGGACCAGCCAACAAGCTTCAACTAATAACTATTGTGGACAACCCTGGTATTTACTTTTAGATTGCAGTAAGTAATCAAACAAATATACACAAATCGTCATATCAACCTCGGCTCACCGACCTGTGACTTTGCTGAACAGCTGGATCAGTTGTCGTTCACTAAGGTTTCCCAAAACGATCCAAATCACCGCTCTGTATCCATATAACCAAACCTGTTTTTGAGAATTCATTGCATGTGTCCAGTTCTTGGTTCTAACACAATGAGTGATGAAGATGACACAGATAACTAGCTGACTTTGTGCTGCGTTCCAAAGAACATATAAAAGCAAGCCAGTGAGCACTAGGTGAATTGACATACTCTGCTACACGGCATACAAGGAATGTGTTATGATGCCCCATCCTATCATGCGTTGTATCATCTATCCTGTTGTCCGAACAAATAGGTGAACAACTGGGGAGGGGGCTAGTAGACAAAGAGTGCCAGATGAGAATATTTCTACCCTGGAGATATAACCCTCTTTAAAATGCGCGTGATGATTCTCTGATTTCGCGCATGGAACGTTATCTCAGTTGAGTGAACTGAATTAGCCAAAAGTCTTAGTGATAAGTTGTGTCCACAATTTTTCCAGAAAGGTGCCTTCTTCACCGATAGACAAGTCTTATCTAGTGTTGGTCTTTAGAAAGGGTCCTAAGTTATTTCAATAGAAAAAAATCGGGAGAAGAAAAATCAGTATTCTAGAAATACACTCATTTGCAAATCAATTTGATTTTCACGAGAGACTCGACTGAATATCATAAACGAGAGATTCAGTTGAGTCTCTCGTGAAAACCAAATTGATTTGCAAATGAGTGTGTTTCTCGAAAACAGTCCAATTTTGGTTCAAGTAGAATATAAGGATGACGGAAACTCGGGGATTGTGCTTACCTGATGAGCCCCAAGAAGGGCGAAACCGCTCGTGGTCTGTCGAAGAGTTTTCAGCAACCTTGTGAGTAGTTTCTTTTATGAAAAAAATCGATATTTATGGAATATGGGAAGGGAAACTTGAAGGGAGATGACATTGGTTCAAACTGTATTCCAGATGATGGTGTAGGATTTGAGAGCCCAAATTTTGTGGGCAGTTTATAGTAGGTGAACCAACATCACTTTACGGTATCCGGAGGCTTTTATGAGTGAAAGCAGTGAGGTGATATTAAGTTGACTAAATGCGGTGTTACAGAAGCACGGGTTTCGTAAAAGTTGGAGGACAACAACTAGAACGTGGTCGGCTGGTTAGCCGGTGTTTTTCTGCCTAGCCTATGAGTCACTTCAGGCCACATCACACACCGTTGGTTGTGGGGACTTTGCCACGCATGCAGCATGCTGATTCATCACTTACGGCCGACCCAATTCCGAACAGCACCTGGAGAGGTAATCAAAATGTGCTGCCAATAAGACGGGCAATTGTTAGTGGAAGACAGATTTGGTGAGATTTGTCTTCTGAAATGAATGGATCGGTACAGATGCTGCAAGATACAACTGCAGGTCAATGTCAACAGCACCTGTTCTTCCGACTTCCTTTTGGGTTTTTCTAGGAAGGCTTTGAAAGAAAAAGCCGCCTGTGCCTTTGGAACCCACCACCAGGTCTCTTCATTCCCCAATTTGTTTTTTTCGTGGTACATTTGTTATGCTTAATTAAAAAACGACTGGGTGAAAATCAGGGAGGGACCAGATTAAAGTAAAAAAAACGCAAAAAAATGATCCCACGGCGGACGCACTGGTGATGTCCATGTGTGTGAATAATTTGTCCACTCTGACACTCGGTGAACTCTTAAATAGTATCAGAAAGGTCAGCTTCCTGAAAGCGACCATTGAATGCCCGAAATCTACCGAGACTCTCAGCTCCGCTAGATGTTGACCAGACAGACAACACCCCCCCCCCCAAACCGTCACAACCAGACACACAACCCCCCCCCCCCCCAAACCGTCACAGCACGTCACAGCCTCGTACCAAAGCCAGACCGTGTGGGTCAGCATTGGACTAAGTTCAACCAGTATCCTTCCAACAAATAGCTTGAGATCGTTGTACTTTTCGCACTCTCACGCACTCACGCTCTCGCCCTCGCTTGTTCGGAATATATCTGTTGTGTTCCCTTCTGTGAGTCTTTTCCTCCGGCACTAGGCGCTGGAGCGGGTCAGCAGCGGATACCACAAATTGGCGAATCAGCAGATATAACAAATAGGAACTAAGACTAGTTACCTGGGGGAATCCGGTACACGGTCAAATTTTGACCATTCGATCGTCAACGTCTGAAAACCTTCTGTTGCGATTCGGGAATCATATACTAAAGAGTTATTAAATTCCTTTAACGTACCATTTTTGTACGTACGCCACGAAATCCACTGATCTTATACCGTCCCAAAAGCAAAGCCAATAGTTTTCCATGCAAACTTCTAAGAAATCGTTTAATGTCCTCCATATAGTGGGAGGTTTGTCACTGTTTTTAAAAAAAATAGAATGAAAGACATCTTTTACTTGCAATCATGGTTTATTTCTGTTCAACTCGTGT